GGTCGCCTGGGCCTTCTTTCCACAGTGAGCCAGGGCTGTCCCAAGGAGGACCTTCTGCCGTAGCTGCTCCCTAGTGTCAGGGTGACAGCGATGTGGGACACCATCCCCATGCACCCCACAAACGGTACCCGAGCTCCCGCACATGCCAGGCACGGGGACACGGGCAGGACTGAAGGTGCCCACAGCCTGCCCTGCCCGCAGAGGGCACGCAGGGACATGGAGGAGGGGCCGAGCCAGGCGTGCTGGGAAGAGGGGAGCCCCGGCTCGGGGCACACAGGGCCTGGGGCCACGCGGTGAGTCCCCCTGCATCAGCCAGAGAGGAGGGGTGCGCGAGGCGCTGGGTAGACCCCGGCGGTGAGGGCTTTCAGGGCGCTGGGACTTGGGAGCACACGAAAGCCCGATAACTTTTTCAGAAGGTTTTCAGACGGGACCTGGGCAGGTGGGGGTGGACATGGCCCTGAGCCACTGACCCCAGACCCCCGCCCCCTCTCCAGAAAGCGTGGCTCCCATTTCAGGCACCCTCTCATTGCCTGGCGTGGGACCGGAGCCCCGGGGAGAGGACCATGCTGGCCTCTCTCCCATCCAGCACAGAGCTGGGAGCCCCCGCACCCTCTTCCCCCTCTGCCTCCAGCTGTTGGCACCTGCTCTGCCAGGTCCACATGCCTCCTCCGGGCTCTTGCTAGGATCGGCCTGGGCGCCTTGACCCATCCGGGGTCGCTGCACTGTCTCATCACGGTCCCCTCGCCCATACCACCAAGCTTCTCCATTTACGATTCCAGAACCATCTGCTGTCAGGCTGGCCCTCTGGGGGCCCACAACAGTGCGCACATGGGGGTAGGTCTTGACCAAGAATGGGAGAGGTCTGCAATGTGCAGCGCCGTTGGATCCCAGTCGTGACCCTGGTGGCCCTCGTCTGAGCCTCCCTCCTGGGCATGGGACGGTCCCACTTAATGAACGGCCTTAGGGGACCACCAGATCTGATGTGTGTGTGTCAGGGGTGCTCTCCCTGGTGGGGGGGAGACCAGTGCCCTTGCTGGCATCTCCATGGGGCAAGGACCCCCAGGGCTAAGGGCCCAGGGACACATGCGTGAGAGGGTGCTGGCCAGTGGGCACCAGTAGGGTGGGGTGAGGATGAGGTCAGGTCCACCCTCTACCCAGGTGGCCTGCAGCTCCCTCCAGGGACCCCCTGCCTTGGCCCAAGCTCTGGCCACACGTTCCTTCCCGGCCAGGCACGCAGGGCTCAGCTAGAGATGTCCCTAGGGCCACCCATCGATCGGGCTTAGTGCTTCTGCCCGGCCTGGGAACCGAGCTTGCTTGATTTCTTTCTTTCTTTCTTTTTTTTAAAAAGATTTTATTTATTTATTTGAGATAGAGATAGAGCTTGTGAGAGAAAGCGTGTAAGTGCACGAGCAGGGGGAGCAGCAGAGGGAGAGGGAGAAGCAGACTCCCCGCTGAGCAGGGAGCCTGATGCGGGGCTCGATCCCAGGACCCCAGGATCATGACCTGAGCTGAAGGCAGATGTTTAACCAACTGAGCCCCCCAGGCACCCCCGAGCTTTCTGATATGCATTTATACACATGGCCTGAATTAGGCCTGGCCCACCTCCTTTTCCTCATTCAGTGTTGGTGAGAGCTGCCTCCACGGCCCAGTGCCCACAGAGGGTACCATCAGGTGCAGAGGGTGCCCCTCAGTGCCCCCTCTAGGACCCAAGTGTCCCGCCCCGCGGGATGGTATGCAGGCAGAGCTGAGCCCAGACTGCCGCTCCTGGCCTCCAACCACGCCCTGGCAACTTAGCCTTCCCTAACTCTCCAGTCATGACTCTTCGTGGCTTTACTGCATTTCCCTGATCATGCACGCCTTCAGCCCCTTTTCTTGCTTTTTTTTGGTTTTTTTTTTAAGATTTATATATTTGTTGTTAAGACAGCGGGTGGGGCAAAGGGAGAGGGAGAGAGATTCCTAAGCAGACTCTGCGCTGAGCGCGGAGTCCAACGTGGGCCTCGATCTCTCGACCCGAGAACACGACCTGAGCTGAAACCAAGAGTCGTATGCTTAACCGACTGCACCACTCAGGCGCCCCGAGCCCTTTTTCTTTAAGAACACCCCCTCACCCTGCCACAGCCCTCACCCCTCTTGGCTGGTAACATCCAGTGTCTGGGGATTTTCGCAAGGGGGTGCTCAGGAGAGGCCCCATGGAGGAGATGACAATGCAGGAGGAGGAGGGAGAGTTCCAGATAGGGGGAGGAGCCAGGGGAAAGTCATCAGGTAAAATGAGTCGGTGAGGTTAGGAACCGAGGTGGGGGTGTGTCCCTCCGTTGTGATGGAGTAGAAGGGAGCGTGGAGGACGGTGTGGAGCTCCCACCCACGAGTCACACTGTTCCTCTATGGAGAAACAAAGTCAGTCCTTGGACCCCGTGCTGGGTTCTGGAGGAGCCTGATCCCCTGTGATCCTCAGTTTCCTCGAGGTGGCCCAGAGCAGTGTGGCCTGAGTCCTGCCGTGGCCTTGTCTCTGGTGGCCCCAGCACCCACCTGTAGGCTTGGCTCCATACCCCAAAGAAAATAAACAGAACCTCAGAAAGCCATTGTCAGGGAATGGGATTACTTCTGTAAGGAACGAGGCACTGAGGTACTTACAACATGAGACAGCAATAAACCGAATCAGATGACCTCCCGGCCACCCCTGCTCATCCCCCGGAAACTCCTGACTCATGTCTCTTCTGTGCTCCCCACTGTTTCACCTCAAACCCTACTCTGGTCTCCTTCCTGACACCCCCACCGCCAGCTGATGCCCCCAAAGGCAGCCAAACCATAGCCAGCTATCTGGGAGGGCCCCATTCTAGCCCCATTTCAAAGATGGGGAGACTCAGAGGCTTGTCATACGCCCGAAGATGGCGGGACTGCTGCATAGTGGGTCTTCTGACTCAGGCGCCAGCCAGCACAGGGGAGGTCCCTGAAGTCCAGGGAGGGGCCAGGCAGCAGATGTCAGAAGGGGGCTTTGGACCCCGGGGACAGGGTCTGCTTGGCTCTGATCTCCCTGCTGCCTTGGGGGCCTCTGTGGGCTCTTGCGGCTCTGGGGTCCCGCTCCCCACCCCGGCTGCCTGTTAAAATGTCACTGAGCTAGGTAGCAGTGGGGCGGGGATCCCCTGTTAGGACGGTGGTCATGGGATGCTGACTCACTGCCGGCCAGACCACCTGACCTCTCCCGGCAGGCGACAGGGCCCTGCCAGGGGGTTCCCCAGCCGCAGCCTTGTTTACTTCTCACTGGCCTTGGGGGAGGAGGGGAGGGCAGGGCCAGGGCCACGCTCAGCGGGAGGGCATCCTGGGCAGGCCAGAGCGGGGACTCTCCTAGGGGTGGGGGCCTCCAGGTTGGCTTCCCCGGGCCCCATTTCCTGCCACCCCCATTTCCCCTAAGCTCTCCATCCCTCCTTGCAGACCCACCATGGTCTCCAATGGGGCCAAAGGGCCAGAAAGCAAAGCAGGTTCTGCCTGCAAGCGTCTGTTTCCGCTGCTTGTTTGGACAGGGGCCGCACCTCGAGCCCTTCCTGAGACCCGAGGTCCCCCAGAGCCCCAGGGCTTTCCTTCTGCACACCCCACTCACTCGAATGAGGCCCCTGAAACTTGGGGGGCTGGGAAGCTGGGCTCTTGGTCCAGGCTGCCCTGTGTGGCGAGGCCCCGGGGCTGCTGAGTCACACACCCATGGACACCTGTGGGCCCCGGCAGCCTCTGCCCAGCCTGCCCCTTGTCCATCCTCTGACCCTGTCTGCAGGGCAGTGAGCATCGTGTCCCTTTCCCAGGCTCACAACAGGGATGCGGGGAGGGGCCTGAGAGGGTATGGCCTCTTTAAAGGGCTGCTTGGGGCGAGGTGCACCTACTCTGGAGCCCCCTGGGAAGGACCAGCCACACCTGCGGACAGGTCCCTGCTGTGTTCCCAGAAGCAGATCGCCTCCACAGCTCGGAGCCAAGTCCACCTGCCCACCCTTCCCTTCTGGCTCTCCCATTGCACAAACCCCACCACCAGAGGACATGGCTCCGACTCAACAGGTCTGCCTTCTACTCTCAGGACCCCGCCTGGGACACTACAGAGGGCGACCTACCCTTCCTGCCCACCTCCTTCCCAGACGCCCCTTCTTCCAGGCCTTGTGAACAGGCGGGTTTTGTCACATAGAGCCCTGTTTCTTGGTTACTAGCCGGAGGGCTGCTGCTCTGACCCGTGGGATGCCCCTGAGGCCATCAGGCCTGACACCACGCAGGCCCTTTGGGCAACACCTGGGAACGGAACTCTGTGCTGACACGTGTGGGTCCGGCTGCCCATGCGGAGCACGTGATGGCCACTGAGGCTCCCGGAAGCGGCCGCCGGCCTTCTGGCCAGGTGAGGGGGAGGGGACCCCGTGCTCCCCCGGCACCCCTCGGCCTTACCCCCACCCCACTGGGAGCTCCTCTGAGGCTCAGGCCTGATGGGGGGTACGCCCCTCAACCCGGTAAGGGGCCGTCATGGAGGATGCTGGGGGCGCTGGAGCGGGCTGCCACCCGGGATGGGAGGCTGTGGAGAGTGGCAGGGCCCGGACAGGACCTCGGGAGCGGTTGGCTCTGGCCTGGGGCTTCGGGCCCGCCGTGGCCCCCCTCCCGCCGCGCTGGGCTTCCCCCCAGCCCCCCACCCCCGCGGCCTCCGTTGTGCTTTGCTGAGTCACCGCCAGGCCAGGCCTGGGAGGGCTCTGGGGGGGACCCCTGTGGGTGCTCTCCCCGCAGGTGAAGAGGCCGGAGCCCAGCCCTAGATGTCGGAGTCCCGGGCCGGCCTCTTGGGGTCCCGGGGGCACCGAGGACAGTGAGGAGAGGGGTCGGCGCTAAGGGGGTGCGGGACACCGTGTGGGGACGGCGGCGCAGCGGGCTCGGGGCCGCGGCAGGGCGGCTCGCGCGGGGCGGCGCGGCGGGGCGGGGCGCGGAGACCACGCCCCCAGGAGGCCGGCGGGGGCGGGGCTGCCCGCGTTCTTTACAAAAGCCGCGCGCCCGCCGCCGCCGCGGCCTGGCTCCGTCTCCTGCTCGCCGACCGGTAGCGATGGCGTCGCTCACCGTGAAGGCCTATCTTCTGGGCAAGGAGGACGCGGCCCGCGAGATCCGCCGCTTCAGCTTCTGCTTCAGCCCCGAGGCCGAGGCCGAGGCGGAGGCCGAGGCCGAGGCCGCGGCCGGGCCCGGGCCCTGCGAGCGGCTGCTGAGCCGGGTGGCCGCCCTGTTCCCGGTGCTGCGGCCCGGCGGCTTCCAGACGTACTACCGCGGTGAGCGGGCCCGGCGCCCTCGGGGGGCTGCGCGGGGCCGTGACGCAGGCTTGCCCGGCGGGGCGGCTGCTCGTCCGGCCTGGGGGCGCCCGCGGGGGCCGGCTCCGGCCGCTCTCGGGGGAAGGGGGTTGGCGTCGGCTCGGGCGTTGCCGGCGGGTGTCGGGCCCGGGGGTCCCGGGGGTCCCGGGGGCGCAGGGCGCCGGCCCTCCCCCCGCCGTGACGTCGCAGGTCTTGGCCCGGGGCGCGCTGGGGCGTCCTCGCTGGCCGGCGGCGGGCGCTCGGGTTACGCTGACAGCTCGCTGCTGCCGAGTCGGGGCTGGCGAGGGCCCCGGAAGCGCCGGCCGGACGCGGAGGAAGGGCTGGCGGGGGAGAGCGGGAGGCGGGCCAGTCAGCGCGGCGGGGCCTGGCGGGCGAGCCCGGGCGCGGCGGCGGGGAGGAGCGGTCGGGAGCGGCCCCGGGGTGCCCGAGGCCGGCCTGAGTGCGCACGTTCCCCCGCGGGCAGGGGACAGAGGCACCCAGCCGGGACGTTCTGCAGCAGCGTCGGCGGAGGGACGGGAGCCCAGGACCGCGCTCCGTTTCTTGCTGCGCTGGTGTGGCGGGGGGGGGGGTGGGGGGGGAGGGAGCAGGTCGGGGCAGGGAAGCGGGGCGCGGGGGGGCGGGAGCCAAGGCCGGCCCCTGGGAGGGGCAGTGCCGGGCCCACCCTTAGGAGCACTGCCAACTGGCCAGACCCGTTCCTGGTTGGTTGGTTTTTGTGACAACTTTATGGAGCTATCCTCCACTTCCCGTGCAGTTCACCCATTTCACGTGAACAGTTTTGAGCGACTTGTGCAACAATCCTCCTCACGGGTTTAGAACCTTTGCATCACCTGCGAGAGGAACTCTACGGTTGAGCTCTCTCCTCGTCCCCTTCAGCTCTAAGCAGCCGCTAATCTCTTTCTCGATGGATTTCCTTATTCTGGACATTTCCTATAAACATGGACACGGAGCCCTACACTTTCCTATTCTTTTGTAACCGGCTTCTTGTACTCGGCATAACATTTCCAAGGTTTAGCTGTGTTGCAGCTTGTGTCCGGACTTCATGCCTTTTTGTGGTTGAGTAACATTCCATTTTGTGGACATACCCCGTTTTGTTTTTCCGCTCCTTAGGGGATGGGTGTTTGGATATCACCTTTTGACGCGGCCTCTGTTCTTCCGGTGGATGTTGCCTCCGGTGGCCCACAGCTGGTGCAGCCTGCAGGTGTAGGGGGTGGTTTGGCCTGCACGGTGGGACTTTCACACCATTTGCTAAATCTAAAAGTCAGAGAGTTCATACAAATACTGTAGATTCACTGGGGGCGGAAGCAGGCAGATGTACTCATCTCCTTGACTCTCCTAAACCACAGGAGGCCCACGGCCTTTGGAGGGTCTGGGCCCCCAGGAGCCGGTCACAGGTGGGGATCTCCTACAGTTGAAGGTGGGTCTTGGCCTGGTCAGACGTGGACCGAGGCAGCACCGGCTTAAGGGGCAGCTGGCTCAGCTACAGGAGCGGCGCCCTGCATGTTCTGCCTCCCGTGGGCGCCCGGGCCCCACGTCCGAGTGCTTACCTTCCAGGCGGTGTTACAGAGGATGGGTGGTCTGGCCTCCGCGCCCCCTGGCTCACACAGGTGTGCGTCAGTTCCTAGGCGAGCAGATGCCCCTCTAGCTCAGGCTGCGCCCTTCTCAGCAGCCTGTATCTGACTGAGAAGGCTCGGGTACTCACATGCGGTCTTGTAAACAATCTAGATGAGGATGGAGATTTGGTGGCCTTTTCCAGTGACGAGGAACTGACCATGGCAATGTCCTACGTGAAGGATGACCTCTTCCGTATTTACATTAAAGGTAAAGGTCTGTTCTGGGTGCTGCCGGGTGCTTCTTGCTGTGTGAAACCTGCTTGAGTTTATTGAGCAGTCCCCTCCAAGGAGCAGGCAAGAGCCTGTGGGTTAAGACCGAGACTTCATCATCTCTGTGCTTGGCCTGAGAGAGGAGTCCCGAAGGGGTGGGGCCTGGGGACCTCTGGGTTCACTCTGTCAAGGGCCGGGGGCTGGGGGCGGCTTTGGGGATGCAATGGGTTTATTTTAACGGGGGGCAGGGCCCCAGCAATGCACACACCGCTCCCTGCCACTTCTCACTTGCCTGGGCCCCATGTACTGTACCAGGCACAGGGACTGGGACCCTCCTGGCAGCTTCTTGGGTCCCCTGTTGCTGTCACTTGAACAGCTGGGTTGTGCACGGACTCCAGGTCTGGAGGGCAGGGCCAGGGGCCCACTGACTGAAAGCCCCCCAGTCATGACGAGCGGTTCGTGTGGGGTCCCACCTGCAGAGAAGAAGGAGTGTCGGCGGGACCACCGCCCCCCGTGTGCTCAGGAGGTGCCCCGCGGCTTGGTGTACCCCGGCGTGATCTGTGACGGGTGCAATGGGCCCGTGGTGGGGACCCGCTACAAGTGCAGCGTCTGCCCGGACTACGACCTGTGCTCCGCCTGTGAGGGGAAGGGCCTGCACCGTGAGCACAGCAAGCTCGTCTTCCCCGGCCCCTTCGGGCCCTTCTCCGAGGTGAGGCTGGGGGGAGCACGGAGCGGGCAGGGGTCCGGGAGGAAGGAGCCCCCTGCTCTGGTGTCACCCGGCCCCTCTGCTCACTCCTCCCCAGGGCGTCGCTCACAGCCGCTGGCTCCGGAAGCTGAAACACGGGCACTTCGTGTGGCCCGGCTGGGAGATGGGCCCCCCAGGGAACTGGAGCCCGCGTCCTCCCCGGGCAGGGGACACCCGCCCCGGCTCCGCAGCCGAATCAGGTGAGGGTGCTTCACAGCCATTCAGGGTGCGTAGTCCTCACAAAACCCTGCAAAGTGGGGAGCATCATCCTCATGCCACACCCAGCAAGACGGAGGCACCTCAGTGCCCAGGGCCGCTAATTCACCCGCACTAAACCGAGGCTTGGCCCAGATGTGGCTCAACCCTAAACCTCCCCCACCCCGTCAAGGCTTTTTTTTTTTTTTTTTTCTTTTTAAAAAATGTGCTCTATACCCAATGTGGGGCTTGAACTCACGACCCTGAGCTCAAGAGTTACATGCTCTACTGACTGAGCCAGCCGGCCTGCTCAGGTATTTTGAAACACAGGCACAAAGTTAAAAACAGATGGCTTGTGTTCCAGAATTTAGGATTCTGGTTGTAGTCTGATTTTATTAACTGTCCTCTGATTTACCTCCTCCTTTGGAACAAAGGTGGGGATGTTGGTTTAATTCCGATGTGGTTTGAGCTAGAACGTGGTCAGCATTGTACACCGCATGTAGCGAATCCCCCATGGGCTTCTGAGCACCAGGGGTACACAGGGGCCCGCAGCGGGAGAGAGTTCGGGAAGGCTGCTGGGACGGACCCCCGGGGGTGGAGGGCACCTGTGGGAAAGGTGATAGGATCATAACAGGTGTCCAAGTCATTGAGAAACCTGCTTTGAATCGAACATTTTTTGTTTTTTTTTTTTTTGAAAACCAAAGCTGCTGGTCCATCGGAGGATCCCAGTGTGAATTTCCTCAAGAACGTAGGGGAGAGTGTGGCGGCCGCCCTGAGCCCTCTGGGTAAGTGGTGGCCTCTGTCCTTCGAGAGCAGGAGTGTGTCGATCACTTGGTGAGGGGGTGGCTGGGGGGCGGCTTGCCCCCCGGGTCACCATGGAGGAACGGTGACTGCCGTGCCCTTGGGGCCGGCCTTTGCCATGCGCTGCACCGCAGGCCGCTCAAAGTTAAATTCCGTGACGCGTTCTGGAGCTTTCCCTGTGGAGTGAAGTGGAATCAGCGAGTGTTTGGTTGGGATAAGCCCAGTAGCCTCTGCTGCAGGGCTGGCCTTTCGGCTTCTGACTTCTCTTCCCACAAAGGACAGTCTGCTTTCGCCCCTGAATGTGAGCCCTGGGGTTTACTCAAGGACTTGGGGCAGTAGTGAGCTGAGAGGCCATTTCTCTTTGCTTCCCTTCTGTTTTTTACAACCGCAACCTTTCTGGGGGCTTCCTGAGTGCCCAGCTTGTTGCCTGCGCTGGGGAGCCGGGTGTGATGGAGGGTTTCCAGTAGCCTCGGGTCAGATGTGAGGTCACTGGATGGGTGGGTGAACCGCAGCGGGTACCCCCTCGTGGTGGGACTGGCGCAAGGCTTTAGAAGGCGCCTGCTGTATCCGCTGGCCCTGACGGGGACGGTGGGAGTCCGCTACGACTGTGACTTCTGGCCCAAGGCTACAGTGGATCCGTGATCTCTGGCTGGAAGTGTGCTCCGCTTTGTGACTTCAGCGGCAGCAAGTGTCCACTGTCTGAACGGGTGCTGATGGGACGGGGAGGCAAGGCCCGCCGTCGCCCTCAGCTTGAGGCCATTTCGGCTCCCGCTGCATCAGGCCAGGACGCAGCTCAGCAGGGGCCCGTGAAACCCCTCAGACCATGTACCGCGGAGTTTCGTGCTTGGACTTAAAGGCCTTTGAGAGAAAGAGAAAAGAACGGGTTCTTAATGCCTTCTAGGAGGATAAAAGCGGAGCGGCGATCAGGTTATAAGCAGGAGATAAGCTAGTGCTAAACCCTAGCTGCCTCACAAGACGTGGTGATGAGAGTTGTGATTTGGGGGCAACGGGAAGCGGCTCTTTGGAAGCTACTAGTGGATCGTGGTTCTCAAGGTTGGCCGAGCCTCAGAATCCCCAACGTGGGTTGTTTTTGGTATAAATTTTGACGTATGGAGATTTCACTAAAATTATTCTGAAGAACAAAGTCCTTCGCTAAAAGAACGAACCAGACAAGCTGGGAAGTCCCGAACCCCAGTCTAGGTTCAGGTAGGGAACCTTGGAACCGTGCAGAGTCCCAGGTCCACCTTCTGGATTCTGGTAAATTGGCCATGGGTCGGGCCTGGGATCCATGTGTTTTGAAGGCTTGCCAGGGACTCTGGGTCCCACTTGCTGTCCATCCCGAGGCCCATCTGAGCTGGTGGCCTGTTTCAGAACTTGACCCGGATTCCCCACTCAGGGCAGAGGAGGTAATTTTGGCAGCGCTCAGAGGCATTGTAGGCTAAGGGTGAAGGCCTTTTCAGGTCTTTCAAAGTGGAGGGAGTTGCTGTGTACCAATGGGGAGGAGCCTAGAACTCTCCAAAACAACAAGGAAAATTTCAGTAAATATGCCTCTGAAGCAGTTTCAGTTGAGGAGAGCCACTTGAGGAATTGATTAAACTCTAGAGTTAACGGGTATTTTCCTTTCTTGTGAGGAACTGACAGCTAGGGTGACTCATGCTAACGGCCTAGAAGGGACTGTTCCCAGAGCAGGGGCCCCAAGGGACAGCCAGTAATGCCTCCCAGAGGGCAGACCATGTGCAGTGACTCAGCGATTTTAAAAGCAAAGACCCTGTTTGGTAGGTGCCATGAGGACCAGCTGAGCGGGTCTGCTGCCAGCCTGAGTTTGCAGTCACTGACCTCTAGGACCCCCAAACCGCAGGTCCTTTCCTTGTCCTAGGGTTTTCAGAAGACGCTCCCCCTCACAGGCCCTGGGGGAAGCAGGGCACGGCCAGTGGTACAGTCTGTAAGCCCTTAGGTCTCAGGTTATCATCCGTTGGAGAAACTTGGGATTCTAGAATCTCTCTGGTTCATTTATGGAAGTCCTGTCATTCGCCCCCATAGAAAAGTGAGACAGTATATGGGTGTTCATTGGATGTTCTTCCAACTTTCCTGTGTGCTCGAACCTTTTTTTTTTTTTTTAAAGATTTATTTATTTAGAGAGAGAACATGGGGGAGGGGCAGAGGGAGGGAGAGCATCTCAAGCAGACTCCCCACTGAGCGCGGAGCCCGATATGGGGCTTGATCTCACAACCCTGACATCATGACTTGAGTTGAAACCAAGAGTCTGAAGCTCAACTGACTAAGCCACCCAGGCTCCCCTGCTTGAACCTTTCATGATGAAAAGTTGGAGGGAGGATAGAAGGAGAAAAAGGACTTAAATGTTGCAGATGGGGTTACTGGTAGCTAAGCCCGCTTTTATCTGTTTGCTCTTCACACTACCAAAGTAACAGTAGAGGGTTTAAACACAAGAGTATAAAGCAACGTGAACAAAGAAAAAGGGGAAAAAAGTCCTAGAAGACAAGGTAGGAAGACCTCACACTTTGAACGGTGGGAAATGGGAGTTGAGGGTGGTGACCAACAGTGTGGAGGCATCAGAAGCCACATGCCTGCCTACACAGGGGTCCTGGTGAGAGGCAGGAGGGCTGGTCAGGGAAGGCCAAGGGCCAGGGGATGGTTGAAGACCACTCTTCAGGATCATGTAGCGATCACTGGCTAGTCAGCCAGATGCTCGTCCTTGCCCACCCACGCACGAGACCTGATGGTTAGCTGCTGGAGCATTTGACCCAGGGAAGCTTCAGCCCTAGGGCTCCAGGGCAGGGTGAGGCACCAGCCTGAAATGGGGCGCCATGAGTGGGCAGTGGGTCTAGCAGGGGCTGGGGCGTCCCTGCTCAGGAGAGGCCGGACGTGCCAGAGCCGGGTCCCACAGCTTTGCCACCTGGGATCCCACTGCCTGGCCAGACACCCACCGGGTCACCCTACAGAGGGAGACAGATGAGGGCCCTGGCCCTCAGAGTGCTTCCTGGCAGCCTCTTCTTAGTGCCTCACTAGGATCAGAAGGCCACGATCACCAGCCATTTGGGAATATCTCTCCATGGGGACAAGAAGGAACTTGGGGAAGGACTTTACAGAAAAGAGAATGTCAGCATCCTCCGTGAGATACAAAGAAAAGTTTTTCCATCCTTGAAAAAAAGAACAGGATACCATAAAAATGATAAAACAGATTTAAGATAAGATCAGAACAGACTGTTTTTTTAGAAATTAAGAAGAAAAATAGCCAGAATAAAGAAAACTTCAAAGGAAGGCTTAGATTTTAAGGTCATTTCAAGGAAGTATTCCAAAAACAAAAGAGAGGCGAGAAGAGAGAAAAGGTGAGAAGATTTGAGGATTAATCCTGGAGGCCCAGGGTAGGACAAATAATAGGAATTCTAGGAAGAGAACAGACAAAACTGAAGGAAGGAAATGAACAAAGAATATAAGACCATCTCGGCACAGAAGACATTAACCTCTCGATTGGAAGGGACTCCCAAGTGCCTTGGACAGTGACCAAAAAAGATCCCGCCCCAGAGCTCGTTGTCCTGTCCCGGAACCCTTTGGAGAAGGGGAGGCTCTGGACATGCTCCAGGTTACTGTAAGAGCTCGAGAGTTCCAAGGGCCAACCCTGGAAGACTGTGGAGCTGAACTGGTTTCTCAACCTAGAGCGCTATTCCCAGGTGAAATGGTCATGTCTGAGGGCAGAACAAAGCTATATATAGTGGCGTTCACCTAAACTGCACGTTTTCATTGAAAAGTTTTTGAAAGGACAGGGGAAGGGGAGGTAAGTGTTGATCTAGAATAAGCAGTGCACTTGAGCCGTGGAGAAAAGGCAGCGTGGGTTGGAAGCCGTCTGTGGGGAGTGGGCGGCTGTGTGGTGGGGGCCAGGGATCTTCGCTGGAGCCTTCTGGAACGGTTGGACTCTAAGCTGTGCGCATGTTGTCCTCTGATAAATTAATCAGAAACAGCACCAGTGACCGCCCTCCGTCCCCTCAGTGGGCACGTGTGCCTGTGTGAGGGACCGTGGGCGACCCGCTGGCTGGGGCTTCGAGCCTCGTGGGCCTCCCACAAAGCCAAGCCGGATTCTGGAGTCTCCCATCACTGCCCTCCCCCCCGCAACTAATGTGAGGCTTTGTGCGGTCCTGGGCGCTGTGGCGGGGGCTCTGTGGCCACTCTGGTATGTGGCTCCCTGGTCCTAGCCTGCTGCCCACACAGGGCAAAACAGGGGCTCTTGATGGGCTTTCTGGCTCCAGAGCTGACCTGGGATGTTCACTGAGATTAAGGTTTCATTAAGTTGGAAGAGGCAGGGCCAGTAAGGTGGACAAGTCAGCAGACATTTTCTAGGAGCCAAAGTTTGGGGCCAGGGTATGGGGAGCAGTGAGCCCTGGGGATCCTGAAGGTCAGATGAGCGGCCCTCCGCCTTGTGGCTGGTGGGCTGGCCTCGTGCCCTGCCCCCACCCCCCCACTATGCTGCTGTTCCCCCCTGCCCCACGCCCTGTCCCCGGCCAGGAGGGCCTCCGGAGGGCTCACAGGTGTTTGCTTCCTCCTGGGTCGCTGCAGGCATCGAGGTGGATATTGACGTGGAGCACGGCGGGAAGAGGAGCCGCCTCGCCCCTGTCTCTCCAGGCAGCTCCGGCACCGAGGAAAAGTGCGGCTCCCAGCCGAGCAGCTGCTCTTCGGACCCCAGCAAGCCAGACGCAGACCCGGAGGGCGCGGCGCAGTCCCTGGCGGAGCAGATGGACAAGGTGGCCCTGGAGTCGGTGCCACCGGAGGCAAGTGCCCCGCCCCGGACAGGACACAGCCCAGCAGACCGCCCTCCCAGCTTCGAGGGCTTCGTTCCCGCTGCTAGAACGTTCCTCGCTGCCCGCGGGAGTGCCGGCGGGGGCAGCTGGGCGCAGCTGTGCTCACGGGGGCTTCTGTTGCAGGAGCAGATGGAGTCGGATAACTGCTCGGGGGCAGACGAAGACTGGACTCACTTGTCTTCCAAAGAAGTGGACCCGTCTACGGGGGAACTCCAGTCTCTACAGATGCCCGAATCCGAAGGGCCGGGCTCTCTCGACTCTTCTCAGGAAGGGCCCACAGGACTGAAGGAAGCTGCATTGTACCCCCATCTGCCACCAGGCGAGTGATTCACGCAGTTCTGTGTTTCTACCTTTTTTCCTCAGAACATCCCCTCCCCTCCTTTCAGCAGCCGGACCCCCGAATCCCGAGGGCAGTGCGATTGAGAGGCTACCCCCCGAGGAAAGCGTCGACCTCTGAGCGGGGGTCACGGCCAGGGTCCCCGTGGGAGCCAGGCAGGAAGCCACCACGTGGGGCGGTGGCGTGTGCGGGGCAGGAAGGCCAGGGGGACTGCGGCAGCCCGAGCACAGCTGAGCGGCAGGGGCAGCTGAGGCCTCGCTCTGGCTCGTCACCATCACAGCAGTGTGGAAGCAGCGACACCGGGAAAGCCCCCCTTGGGCCACATTTGGCCCTTTGGGCTACTGGTCTTGATCTGCTCTGCCTCAGAGCAGGGGCGGCAAGCTGTCACTTACGGGCCAAGAGTGATTTTTTTTTTTTTTAAGATTTTATTTGCGAGAGTGAGCGAGCCCAAGCAGGGGGAGCAGCAGAGGGAGAGGGAGAGGCAGGCTCCCCGCCGAGCAGGGGGCCCGAGGCGGGGCTCGATCCCAGGACCCAGGGATCATGACCTGAGCCGAAGGGGGACGCTTCACTGACTGAGCCACCCAGGCGCCCCTGATTCCTTCATTTTGACGATGGTCGGGAAAAGGTCAAGATGTGAAAATTGGATGACAGCCAGATGTCAGTGTCCAGGACAGACGTAGTGGAGCCCGGCGGCGCCCCGTTGCTTACAGGCTCTCCGCGGTGTTCCCTTGTGATGGCAGACGCGAGTCAGGAGACCGTACAGCCTTGCAGAGCCGCTCAAAATCCTCACCCTCTGGCCTTTTCCGGGGCCCTGCTGGGGAGGGTCGCTGCGCCGGGTGGCACGCCCGTGGAAGGGCTGGTCCCCGCGGGCGCGGGCGCGCTGGCTGCCCCCCCTCCCCCTGCCTCACAACTCTCATCCTCCCTCTGGCAGAAGCTGACCCCCGGCTCATCGAGTCCCTCTCCCAGATGCTGTCTATGGGCTTCTCTGACGAAGGCGGCTGGCTCACCAGGCTCCTGCAGACCAAGAACTACGACATCGGGGCGGCGCTGGACACCATCCAGTATTCGAAGCACCCGTTGTGACGGCTTCTGCCCCCTTGTCCCACCCCCTTCTTGTCTCCTACTTGTGTTGAGCTAGTGTAGAACAGCAGGGCCTCTCTAAGGGCCAGTTTCTGTGCATTCTTCTTCCAGAATCTGGGGGGTGGGGATGCACCAAGCCATCCAGGGCAGTGGAACAAGTGACAGGAGGGGGGGGCCCCGTGTGTGGCTGCCCATGTTGGAGAAGCGTCTGCTGGCTTCCAGGGGCGGAGCGGGGCCCAGTGGTGTTCTCCTGCCCTCCCCCCACCAGGATCACACCAGCAGTCCAGAATGTCTTGCCTAATGGCCTTTTTTTTTTTTTTTTTTAATGACTAATAGTAGGCTGACATGTAGTTGATTTTCTGCTAGAAACCCGATCAGCTCCAAATTTAGAGTGAGTACAGCTGACATCCTGCTGCGTGGGAGAGGAGTGAGGACAGGGCAGTCCAGGACTTGGCTTCTTGAATCTGCAAATGAGGAGGGGCTGAGAGGGAAGGGAGGCCGGAGCTCACAGAATACTGCCTGTTCCATAACCGCTCTAGTTCTGTCATTTCCAGACGCGTCTGTTGCTTTTACAGTAAGAAAACCCTGTTGTAACCATTATGTTGCTATTTTGCAATCAGTAATTAAATGGTGTAAGCACTTTAATCAAAGATGTTACAACCACAGATGACCTGATAGTTGTGTGTGTCCTTCTCGACGGTTTGTGTAAGTCATCGCCAGTCCTTTTTTTTTTTTTTAAAGATTTTATTTGAGAGAGAAAGACTGTGTGAGCGTGCACAAGCACGTGGGAAGGGCAGAGGGAGAAGCAGACTCCCCCCGCTGAGCAAGAAGCCCGATGCGGGGTTCGGTCCCAGGACCCTGAGATCATGACCTGAGCCGAAGGCAGACGCTTCACGGACTGAGCCTCCCAGGTGCCCCCCAACCCTAGTCCTATTTAAAAGCTAATTAGGGAGCTCCCTTTGCAGTGGCCGAGAGGTCCAGGGGAGAAAGGTTCATGTAACGTGTGTCCGTGTCGGTAACTGTCTAGTTTCAGTTCACAGGTCGTCCTCAAAATCCTCACCACTTTCAAAGAGGTCACACAGTCGCACGAGTGGGGGCTCTTGTACCCCTGTGACCGTGGGCCTGCCCTTTGCCAGAGGACCAGTGTCCTGTGGCTGTCCGGGGGGCTTTCCGCAGGGCCTCTGGGACCCCGATGTGAGAGTGTGTGTGGGCCAGGGAAGCTTGGGTGCACTGAGGGGCCTGCTGGGGCGCCCTTCCCTTGGGGTCCCCTGCTCAGCCAGTGCTGCCCCGGCTGGCCTGGGGTCTCTGTGCAGGGGTACTGGGGGCTCCGTGTCCACACGTGGGCCATTTCCAGGCAGCAGAAGGAAGCGATCCCACTTGGATGACGTGGCTCTTAGCTGCGGGGCCGGACGTGGAGGACCCCCCTGAGGAACAGAAAGCTCCCCGGTGCCCCCATCCTTGTGGCTGCCGCCTTCCATGACCTTCCCGGCCAGGCCAGCGTGGTCCTGCAATGGAAGCGAGAGAAGAGAACCATGTCCTGGCAGGACCAAGGGATGGGAGGGAAGGTCCCCCTGCCTGCACTGCTGCTGCCTCCTCTCCACCTCGGGGCTCCCACACTTCTCGCTCTCTGTTCCACCTACTGCCCTGCTCTCGGGCCGGCAGACTAGGGGCCTGCCTTCATCTGGTTTTATTCAACACAGTACTAGAAGTCCCATCACAGCAATCAGATGAGGAAAAGAAATAAAAGGCACCCAAATTGGGAAGGAAGAAGTAAAACCATCCCTGTTTACAGGTGACATGATACTTTATATAGAAAACCCTAAAGACTCCACCTAAAAACTATTAGGACTGATAAATGAATTCAGTAAAGTTACAAAATGAATATATAGAAATCTATTGTGTTTCTATACACTAATAATAAAATAGCAAAAAAACCCAAAAAACCCCAAAAAACAAAAAGGGACGCCTGGGTGGCTCAGTCGTTAGGCGTCTGCCTTTGGCTCAGGTCATGATCCCGGGGTCCTGGGACTGAGCCCAGTGTCAGGATCCCTGCTCAGCGGGGAGTCTGCTTCTTCCTCTCCCCACCCCTGCTCGTGCTCTTTCTTGCCTCTTGCAAATAAAATCTTTTTTTTAAAAAAAAGAATAAAATACATAGGAATAAATTTAACCAAGGAGGTGAAAGGCCTTTACTCTGAAAACTGTAAGACACTGATGAAAGAAACTGAAAGGGCACAAACAAGTGGAAAGATAAACCATGCTCATGGATTGGAAGGATCAATGCTGTTAAAATGTCCATACTACCCTAAGCAATCTATGAAATTCAATGCAATCCACATGAAAATACCAATAGTATTTTGCACAGAACTAGAAGAAATAATCCTTAAATTGCAAAAGAAAAAACCTGGAGGTATAATCCCAGATTTCAAGATCTACTACAAAGGTATTGTAATCAAAACAGTATGGTACTGGCACAAAAACAGACACCTAGATCAATGGAACATAACAGAAAGTTCAGAATTAAACCCATGATTATATGGCCAGATAATCAAGGACAAAGGAAGCAAGAACATACAATGGGGAAAAGATAGTCTCTCCAAGAAAGATGGTGAGGAAACTGGACCATTTTCTTAGACTATACAAAAAAATAAACTCAAAATGGATTAAAGACCTAAATGTGAGAGCTGAAACCATAAAACTCCTAAGAAAAAACATAGCCAGTAAGCTGTTGGACATTGGCCTTGGCAACGTATTTATGGTTATGTCTCCTCAGGCAAGGGAAACAAAAGCAAAAATAAAATACTGGGAGTACATAAAAATAAAAAGCTTTTGCACAGTGAAGGAAGCCATTAACAAAATGAAAAGGCAACATACTGAATGGAAAAAGGTATTCACAAATGATGTATCTGAAGATGGTTAATATCCTTAATATATAAAGAACTTACAACTCAACACCAAAAACCCAAATAATCCAATTAAAAAACAGGCAGAGGACCCAAATAGAAATTTTTCCAAAGAAGACATACCAATGGCTAACAGACACATGAGAAGAGGCTCAACATCACTCAGCATCAGGGAAATACACATCAAAACCACAATGGGATATCACCTCACACCTGTCAGAATGGGTAGTATCAAAAAAATAAGAAATAACAAGTATTGGGGAAGATGTGGAGAAAAGGGAACTCTTGTCCTCTGTTGGTGGGAATGTGAATTGGTGCAGCCATTGTGGAAAACTGTATGGAGTTTCTTCAAAAAATTAAAAATAGAAAAACCATATGATCCAATAATTTCGTTACTGGATATTTACCCAAGGAAAGCAAAAACACGAGTTTGAAACGATCTATGCCTATTTGCTGCCGCATTATTTGTAATAGCCAAGATATGGAAGCAGCGCAAGTGTCCACTGATGGGTGAATGGAAAAAGAAGATGGGGTCTATATCTACATAATGGAATATCACTCAGGCATAAAAAAGGAACTCATAAATACAGAGAACTGGTGATTGTCCTTGGGAAGGGTACAAGGGGATGGGCAAAATAGATGAAAGGGATTAAGAGGCACAAAGTTCAAAGAGATGAAAAATATAGCATAGGAAATATAGTCAATAATATTGTAATAATGTATGCTGACGGACAAGGACTATCATGGTGAGCACTGATTCATGTACTGAGTTGCTAAATCACTATGTTGTACACCTAAAACCTAATATGCCATCGTATGTCAACCATACAATAATAAAAAGAACAAGAGCAGATCCTAGGTGAAGACAGTGCCTCGGTGTGAAAGGACACACCTGGGTAAGTGAAGGTGAAGCTGTGAACAGCGCCTCAGAAGTCCGGGGCAGGTCCCATGTTGGACAGTCTGACAAAGACCTGCCACGCCACGTCGAGGGAAGAGAAGGGTTCTGACTCAGAAAAGCCCTACTGGTCAACCTTGGTTGATTCCAAGGCATCAAGCTGTCCTTTTGCCCGGGAGCTCACATCACTGAGATTGAGCATGGCAGGGAAATGGTCAGGCCAGAGAAAGGAGCTGGCTTAAGTCAGAGCAGAGAAAACACTCGGGTAGTAAACAATTCTATGTGTGTTTCATGGTTACTGGGACCAGAAGAGAAACACTTCAATCACTCAATCACTGACCTTCTGGGGCTCCAAGGTAACTTCAGAATCACTTAGGTTCTGGACATCGGGGCTGTGTGGAGGCCAGACTGCGCTCTGGCTGCATTTCCTGGTGGAGGGAAAGCACTGTCAAGAATCCAGTCCCATCACCACACCTGGCAGTCACCCCAGCACAGGTAGGGACCTTGTCCTCCCACACAGCTTCCCACCCAGGTGGCCGCTCAGCTTCTAACCCACTGCCAACAGCAGGCTGCCCGACAACATCCAAGGCAGGACGCTTCTCTGCCCCAAGCTTGTAGTTGCTAGAAAGTTCTTATTTTGAACTGGAATCTACCTCCCAATGTCACTTTCACTTGCCCTGTAGGGGCCACCCTGGATCTAGAGAAGGTAATGTCTCAGAAGACTCACTGAACTGCAAAGTAAGTCTAGAGAAGAGACCTACAAAAGGTCAGTCTTCCCGGCAGCAGGCGACAAGCTCCCAGAACCACCAGCTACTCCGGCCACACTTCACTTTGTGCGCAGTCACAAGGTGCCCATGCTGACATCCCGCCCAACCCTGACTGCTGCACGACAGCACCCGGCACCTGGCAAGGCCAAGGAGGGCTTGGTGGTGCGGGTCCCTGGTGGCCAATGCCAGCCAGGCTGCTCCCCCGGCCGGCAGGCACCGTGGGGGTGGGGCGATGGCTGCATTGATGACTGGCTCCGCACCTTTTTCTAGGCAGGCCTGTGTTGAAGGGAGGCTCTGGCTTCTCTGTCCTGCACAAGGGCGGTCTCTCGAAACACACTCCTCTTTCTATCCCCAGCTCTTTCGAGTCTCTTTCCAGATACTTCAGCCAGCGGTTCTCTGAGGACTGAGGTTTTTCCTACGGGATTGGGGAGTAAGTTTATTCTCAGGACCCACATCCGCCCTGGTCCTGGGAAAGGCATTTTGCCGGGTGGGGGGGGGGCTGGGGGACAGACGTCCTGAGGCACCACTGGGGACCGTGAACACTGGCACAGAGCTTGGGAAAGCTGCTGGACACGACTCATCAAGGAACTTTCCAAATGTCCACGCTCCCCGACCTAGGGGTTCCAAAGGAAGGCAAAGGCACAAAGATGCTCAACAAAGTGAGGTAAATCATGGCGAATACTCACTGTAGCAAAAATCTGGAAATAATCTACATGCCCAATCATCATGGGGTAAATACTTGGTACCACCACTATATTCTGTAGATACGGGCATCACTGCAAACTCTACAGCAATGCAAGAACGACATGAGTGAAAACTCCAGGGTGCAAACCAGGACTTGTCATAATCGTGACGATGTAAAATGGAGTCCCTCAGTGGACAAATTGAACGTATAGGGCCAACCATGTGAGAGCTGCTGTGTAGAGTGGAGTATGAGCAATGCTCCCGTTTACAATACAATATGAAGAGCTGGGAGAGGGAGGGCACTGCCAATGCGCTTCTGTGAGCAGAGGTAGGCTCTGTCCTCAGCTGGGCGGGGAGCCTCGGACAGCTGCTCGCACCGCCCCGGCCCTGGCAGGACACAGTGTTCCACGTACCCACGGCACCTTGGACGTACCCATGGTGTCACCTCAGTCACTCAAGCTCCGACACACACCTACATTACTGGGCACCGGGGCAGAAAACTGGATGTGAGCCCCGCCGGGAGGCTTGGTCTGGAGAAAGGGAACCCGAAAGCCAGGTACTCTGCCAGAGCATCCTTTCCCTAGCTGAGGTGTGCCCAGGGCGCGACGGGGCCAAGGCGAGAAACACGGGGAGGTAAGTTCAAGCTAAGTTCAGAGGAGTTCTCCCAGCCAGAGACAACGCCCTTTTCAGAGTCCTGTAATTACTGCTATGCATGGCTGTCTCCTGCCTCACAAAAGGATGGGTTTACTCCTTTTTGTGTTCCCTGCAGCTTTAAGCCAAGTGTCCATTATTGATCGCGTTTGCTGCACAAAAGACCAACAAATGAATAATAAATGGAACCCCCTCTGGGACACACTTACCTGCGCACTCCCACGCTCAGCCTGCCCGGGCCCTGCATTTTCCTCTTCATCAACATTTCCAGGTTCTTCCAGAGACCTTGGTGAAAGATTGTACATGTGTCCTTAGTGAAATCACTAGGGAGACGGAGGGCAAGGAGATGGGGACAGCAGGATGTGAATACTTGACAGTGGATATCAAGGACTGCTCCAGAGATCTTAGGATCTTAGGTCTGTTGTTGTGATGTAACCTGGTGATCTTCAAACAGTTCAGAAGGGCCTGCGAGGGGGGAACATTTGCTGTTCAGATTTAGGCTGGTCAAGCCCTCCATCAATGGGAAAGGCGACACAGGGCAGAAGGGGCTGACTCTTCACCTAGACAGACCCGTGTTTGCATCCTGGCTTTGCCAATGACTGGCTGTCACTGTCACAGTGTGGCTTTGGGTTCATCAACGTACCCCAGTTCCCTCACCCACAAATGGGGACAAGACGGTGTGGGTGACTATGAAGATGAAAGAGATGACGTGTGCCCATGCCTTGCTGAGGGCCTGGGATACAGACAGAGTAACATTGGCTGAAGCCTCGTAGCACAGGGTCCCTCCCGTCAGCATTGGCCAAGTCGCCACTGCACAGTTACACAAGTCCTTAGAGTTCTACCTCAACTCTTGCGAGAGAGGAGAGGCACTGTGTGTGTCACGGTGACTTCCATCAGCCTCCCCACGGCAGCAGGGCTCTCTCGCCACATGCAGAAGTGTGGGGGGCCAGGGCCTCCATGGCCTCTACTGGCACTGACTGGCCATGAGAACACGTACCATGCGAGGGCTGGAGGTTGGCGCAAAGCCAGGCCCACCCGCATCCAACAGGGTGGTTACGTGGCACCATCAAATGGGGACTCTCTCTAGTGGGCAACCGGATGTGGGCATCTATTCCTCAGTTTCTTCATCCGTATGTAGAAGTCATCGATCCTCACAGGCCACAAGAGGCAATGAGGGCATGCACGTGCAACACCTACCTGGCCACCTGGTTGATAATCCGGCGTTCACTTGGGCGGTGTCCTACCAGCTACTGACCAGAACTCCGCTCACCGTTCTGACTCAGGAACTCAACTCCATCAATAAAGGACAGCTTGCAACAGTCTGAAGATACCAGTCTGTCTTCTTGCTTTAAAGTTACCACAGAAAGGGCGCTGGGTGGCTCAGTCGTTGAGCATCTGCCTTCGGCTCAGGTCAGGATCCCAGGGTCCTGGGATCGAGCCCCGCATCGGGCTCCCTGCTCTGTGGGGAGCCTGCTTCTCCCTCTCCCACTCCCCCTCCTTGTGTTCCCTCTCTCACTGTGTCTCTCTCTGTCAAAAAAATAAATAAAATCTTAAAAAAAAAAAAATAAAGTTAGCACTGAGAAGTTGGGCATCTGCTGTTCCTTTGTAGGTGATCTCTCTTCTCTCCAGCTACTTTTCAGCTCTTCCCTTTGTCTTCTGTGTTCTGTGATTTCATTATGTTGCTGTGTCTAAGGGCAGATTTTTTTTTAACCTTAAAAATTAACTTAAGGTATGAAATAAACTAAAATTTAAGTGTATAGTTAGATGAGCTTTGATGAATGATATCTTTGAAACTATCATCCAGTCAACATCTAGGAAAAAAATTTTGAGATATAATGGACAAGATGTGGAAAATTTTCATCACCCCTAAAAGTTCTCATATGTGTCTTTAGAGGCAATTCTCCTCTGCCCCAGAAAATCCCTGATCCCTACAGCATGTAGTCTTTTGTGTCTGGCTTCTCTCACTTAGCAGTGTTTTTGAGATTTGCCCACGTTGTTTTCAGTGTTGCAGCGCTCCACTGTATGAACATACCAGTTTATCCATTTACCTTCTGATTTATCTGTATGTCTAGCCTTTCACCAATATCGCATTGTCTCAATTACTGCAGCATTATAGTAGATCTTGAAATCAGGCTGTAGAAGTCCTTCAGCTCTGTTCTTTTCAAAACTGTCTTGATAATTCTAGGTACCTGTATTTCTATATAAATTTTAGGATCAGTTTGTCAATTTCTACCAAAAAAAAAAAAAGCCCACTGGAATTTTGATTTGGATTAGGTTGTCTCTACCAATTTCGGATAAACTGAGATCGTCATGATACTGAGTTTTCCAATCCATGAACATGTTATATCTCTTCATTAATTTAGCTCTTCTTTAATTTCTCTCAGCAATGTTTTGTAGGTTTTACTGAACAGATCTTGCACATTTTTTGTTGCATTTATCCCTAAGTATCTAATTTTTTGATGCTGTTCTAAATGGTATTTGAAAAATCATTTCCAACTGCTCATAGCATTTATATAGAAATAATTTAATTCTGTATGTTGACTTTTTTAGAATTTATTTATATGAAGGGGAGAGAGAAGCAGACTGCCCACTGAGCAAGGAGCCCTACGTGAGCTCAATCCCAGGACCCTGAGATCATGACCTGAGCTGAAGTCAAACACTTAACCGACTGAGCCACCCATGCACTCCTGTATGTTGACTTTGTATCCTTGTGATCTTGGTAGAATATTAGCTCTAGTAGCATTTGTATAGGCTGGTTAGGATTTCCTATATACACAACCACGTTGTTTGCAAAGAAAATAACGACTTTATCCAGTTTGAGATTTATTGTTTCTTAAATCTAAGAATGTAAGCCTTTGATTCTGGAAAACGCTCTGGTCTTTTCTCTCCATATATTGCCTTTGCCCCACTTTCTTTATTCTCTCTTGCTGGAACTCTTCCTGTAGCTTCCATGTTTCTCAACTCACATTTTCCATGTTTTTATTTCTGTGCTGCATTGTAAATACTTTCTTCAGATTTAACTTCCATTTCACTGATTCTCTCTTCAGCTACATTTAATGCTTAACCTGTCCACTGAATTTTTAATTTCAATGATTATGTTTTTCATTTCTACAAACTCTTTTTGGTTCGTTAAACCCACATGGTCATTTTTAAAAGTCCTTTACTTCTTCTTCTTCTTCTTTTTCTTGTACTCTACCCCCAGTGTGGGGCTTGAATTCATGACCCTGAGATCAAGAGTTGCATGCTGTACTGATTGAGCCAGACAGGTGGCCTGAAGTCCTTTGCTTTTTAAATTACCAACCCTGTCTTTTATCACATTAAATCTATTAAATATACATTCTGTACTCTGAAGTCTTGTGTGTCTCACTTTTCTGTTGTTTCTGTTGTCTTTTGCTCATGGTGACATATCTCCTTGAGTGTTTAATGATTTTTAACTCTGAGTAGATGCTTCTTGGAACTTTATCTGTGGAAATTCTCTCAGGCCTGGGTTGAAGATGTATGCTCCAGAGGAGTTGCATTTACCTTTGCTTCCTTGGACAATTTAAAAATCCTCAGCTTGAGGCTTTTCACACAGTGCATGTAAAAGGCTGAAAAGCCATGTGACAGCTTTCTTGTGTTTATAAAACCCTAGAGAGAGAGTTCCCTTTCTTAGCCAATGCCAAGGTCAACATGCTCCCTGCTGCAGAGAGGGTGCATTTCTAGTTCATTTGTTCATCCACCGAGGGTGTAGTATTTTGGGGACTCTGCTTTCTGTGGCGGTCTCCTACTGACCCTCCCACACTGATCAGGCCCTAGGCCTTGTCTTTGTCTCCTGCACCCTTCTCAGCCATCTAAATGGAAGCTCCGGAGCAGCTTACTCTCTGGATTTTGGCTTTTGCTTTATTTTTGACTTCTGATATTTCGCTGACTTCCTTGCCATTTCATCAGTGTACAAAATACTCTAGTTAGCATTTTTAGTTATTTTCAGTGGGAAGACCACTCAGGGGAACTAATCACCATACGGAAATCTAAGGGATTTCTTCATCTTCTATTTCTACTAACCACTCAAGGGGAACACAGGGCAAGACAAGATAACCATGCCCTTCTCAAACAACTGTACCTGGGTGACATCTCTGAAATCTGTCCCTGCAGCAGATTTAATTTTTGGACATGGTGTCTACAGTCAGCACCAGAGCCCTCACCATAAGTCTGAAAAACAAAAAATTAAGTAAGTTTAAAAAGTGTTGACAAAAATGCTGAGAAACAGATCCGTTAGTGATGTACCTCAGGAAGGGGAACGCTGTCCTTTGCAAGGCCCAGAAGCAGAAATCCTGATGACTGACCACTGTTTCTGGAGTAATTTATTTACAAACTAACAGTCTCAGGGACTAATAGTTCTTGGCTATCTGGCTGTCCTTCTAGCACTCAGAACTCTACATATCAAAGACACACTCAGCCCCAACCAAGCCCCACACTAAATGGTTAATGAATGTGAATAAGAAATGTGGAAGAGAGGGGCGCCTGGGTGGCTCAGTCGGTTAAGCGGCTGCCTTTGGCTCAGGTCATGATCCCTGGGTCTTGGGATCGAGGCCCACGTCCGGCTCCCTGCTCAGTGGAGAGCCTGCTTCTCCCTCTCTCTCTCTGCCTGCCTCTCTGCCTACTTGTGCTTTCTCTCTCTGTGTCAAATAAATAAAATCTTAAAAAAAAAAAAAATGTGGAAGAGAAGTAACACGAACCACCAATAAACATACAATAGGATACTTAGTATTCACTGATGAGCAAAGGAACATAAAATAAAACGAAGTACTTTTTTTTTTTTCACTTAGCAGTCGCTTATTTGTCTAACAATATTTATCACACACCTGTTATGTGCCAGGCCCCTGAACTAGGTAAGGACAATACAATACAAGAGTGGACAAAAATCACTGTCATTGTGGAGTGTACATTCTATATATTATATAAACATATAACTATGTGGCCATCAGATGATGAGAAGAACCACCCAGGAAAATAAGGCAATGAAAGGTGTACAGTGGGGACAGAGTAGACAATTTTATATAGGGTTTTCAGGGACTAGATCACTAAGGTGACATTTGAGCACAAAATAGCAAGATATGAGGGCTGAAGCCATGTAGATACCTGGGGGAAAGCATCTGGCAGAAGCAATGAAACGGGCATGAGAGCAAGGACACTGAGCCTGGCATTTTGGGGGAACTGTAAGGAGGCCACATGGCTAGAGCTGAGTGGACTGGGGGAAAATGGTACAAGATGAGGTTTGAGTGTAGTCCCAACCACAGGCAGTCAGGCTCACGGGCACAAGACCTGTTCTGTTGCTGCCATCTTGAAAACATTTTTTTGTTTAATTTTTTATTTGAAATTCTTAATAATCTTACCTTTGAACTTGTGTAAGTGAAGTCTGATGGGACAATGGGTCATGTCTGTAAGCAGGGATGTACACTCTACACATGTCCATTGTTCCTTGCTGCACCATTTGCATACAGCATGCTCAATGACCCAGGAGCACAGGATTCCAGTGGACTCACCACAAACAAGTGCGACTATTCATGGAGAGTCGGAGTCCAGACGCTGAGTGTTTGCCATCTACACCTGAGTAGGTGGAGGCACCCACAGCCTGAGAGGCCAGGCTTTCCACAGAACAAGAGCTTGCTTCAGATGCAGAGAAAAGGGTGTTCTAAACACACACGAACAACCAAGGAACTATCATATCTTTTTTTTATTCCTGTTATTTGCCTAGAACAGCTGATCACTTATACTGAAAACGATGACACGGAAGGAAAAGGCAAGGCAGGGAGACCCTTGTTCCTTTCCCTTTCAGTCCTTCCTTACGCATCAGGGAGCTGATGGGGGATAGTGTGGGGAGAGAGTGTGCATATTAATAAGTAGAAAAAAGCTGAATTAATTTTGTGCAGCATTTCCACTGTCCTGGTAACGATGAAATACACAGGCATGTATGAGCTCCAAAATACAAGTAGGGCAATTTAGATGATCCTGCATATATAGTAAATGCTCTTGTATTATTCTGCACATGGACTACACGCTCTTTGCATTTTAAACTGGTGTTGCACAATACCAATGGTAAATTCATGCTAATAATTTAAAATAAATTGGTTTTTCTTAACTTAGGAAGACATTCCACAGTAAATAAAAAACATTATGAGAAGTCAAGAGAAACCAGGAAAGAAAGGAAAAGCTTAATATTTTAGTACTTTTCACAGCTTTTTTTCCTGCTTTCGAACAAGGGGCCTCCCATTTTCATTCTGTACCAGGCACACTTGGCCCTGTCTGTAGGACCAGGATTTTGCTCTAACCTGGAAGGCTGGGGAGAGTGGCTTGGCCCCGCACACGCTGAAGCGGGACTCGGGCTGTGGTGCTGCGGGCAGGCTGTAGGGCAGCGACAGGGCAGGTGTTAGGAGGCTGCTGTCAACCGTGGTGTGGCCCAGACCACTGTAGTAACAAATGGTCAGTCTGGGTGCAGCCTCATAGAGCTGATGGACTGGAGGAAGAGTGTTTAAAAAAAAGGAGTCACGGATGACTTCGAGGTTTTTAGCCCAAACAACTAACAAGGGACTTGGCACGTATGTGACCAGGAGGACTGTGGGAGAGCAGGTGGGTGGGGGGAGGCGAGGCCTTCTGTTTGGAAAGGGGGGTTCTGGATGCCTGTCAGAGAACCCGTAGAGAGCTCAATGGGCGGTTCAGGGCTGGGCCTGGGGTCTGAGACAGACATCCCAGAACTGTCGGATGATCTCCACTCAGACCACTAAGGGAGTGAGGCCAACAAACTTAGCACCAGAGCAATTCTCATGTTTAGAAGGTGGCGAGACGGGAAAAAGCTAGCCAAGAGGACTGAAACACAGCCAGAAAGACAGCAGGAGAACCAGGAGTGGGATTACTGGAAGTCCAAGTGAACACAGTGTTTGAGGTGGAGGAAATGACAAACTGTAACAGACGCTGCCAATAGGTCAAGTCTCTGGAGACCTGAGAAGTCCCTACTGTTTTTAGCAAATGGAGAGCACCACTGACTTTGACAGGAGCCATTTTACTGCACTGTGGGGAATAAAAGCCCAGCTGGGGCAAGTGCAAGTGAGAATGGGAGAGAGGAACTGAAGAACGGAATGACAAAGCTTTGCCAGACGCTACTTGACATCTGGCATAAATGGCAGGCTGTGTGCTCGCCAGCACGGCAGGGACCGCAGCCGAATGCTAATATCCTTCTCCCCTCATCTGGGCACAAACTGGATGACGTTTTCCAGTCTTCCTTGCAGTTGGGGGTGGCCATGAGATGTTCTTTCTAATGGGATGTGAGCCACTTCCAGGCCTGACCCCTAGAAGCCTCCTGTGTAGCTCCTTCCTGCTCTTACCCTTCAGTGGCTGCAGGCAGCAGGAGACGGGCCTCGGGGAGTAACAGAACCTCCAGATGAAGGGGGCCTGGGTCCCTGAATGACCGCACCAAGGACGGCCGCCCTGTGGATCTCAATCCCTCCCAGGACTGTTACAAGAGCAAGAGAGACGATCTGTGTTGTGTGAGGCTACCACCGTTTTGTTGTCTATTTGTCACTGTGGCCTAGTCCACCGTAAGCCAGGCACCACTGCACATGCACGGAGGTGCGAGAGGAAAGCAGAGCCCCCTCCTGGAGAATTTAGAAATATATGCTGACGTGAAAAACAAGCAGCAGTCACTAGCTCACGAGCCAGCTCCCTGTCCTCGGAAACCCAATCTCGGGGTGGGTCTCAGCAGCTGTACTGCTGACCAATGATGTGATCCTCCCTACTCCCACCGTCCCAGTTGGCTCAACCAGATGTGGACATCTGGGTCAACAGGGCCAATCAGATCGCTTCTCCCAGTTTATTAATTGGGACTCAGCTATTCTAGTTGGCTTGAAGTGAGAGTCTGTGCTCTGTGGGTGGAGTCTGCGAACTATCTGGGGGGAGAGAAAGGAAGGGAAGGAGGGGCAGGAAGAGGGGAAGGAAGATGTAGGGAGAACCTGGGTGCAGGGAAAGAAGGGGAAGAAAAAATGATGCTTGCATTGTCCGCAGCTTTGCAGTTCTCGGGGCTGGTCCTTCAAGGGCTCTGGGATGAAACCCCCCCTTGCATTCCCCAAGATACCCCATTACCTTGCCAGTACCTTTTTTTTTTTTTTTTTTTAATTTTGTTGAAGCCATTCTGAAGTAGGTTTGTTTTTTTTTCCCACTATTTGCAACTAAAAGAACTTTGGTCAAAAGATTACTTTGAGGGGCGCCTGGGTGGCTCAGTTGGTTAAGCGACTGCCTTCAGCTCAGATCATGATCCTGGAGTCCCAGGATCGAGTCCCGCATTGGGCTCCCCGCTCAGCGGGGGGTCTGCTTCTCCCTCTGATCCCCTTCCCTCTCGTGCTCTCTGTCTCTCATTCTCTCTCTCTCAAATAAATAAAATCTTTAAAAAAAAAAAAAAAAAGATTACTTTGAAATAGCAATTTAACTTCTAGGAATTTGTCCTAAGGAAATAATTGGCCTAGTGAAGAAAGAGGTCTTTGTAGGAAGCTGCACTGCAGAGTTCGTAACAATGAAAACGAAAACCGACCTAAATGCCAATCACTGTGGGATTGGTCATTCCTGATTCAACAAATCTTTACTGGGCGAACACTTACTGTGCCAGGCACTGTGCTACATGAGAGGGTGTATCAGTGAACAAACCAGGCAAAGCTTCTGCTCTCATGGATCTTCCATGAGATAAACAATACTCACGTAAACACACTCAGATAGAATATCTAAATCAGGATAATGAGAAGAGCTAGGGGAAGACCCAACAATGAGCACAGAGGCCGTCAGAGTGCAGCATGTCTGGATTGTTTCAGGGTCTGAAAGGAAAGGCTTTATAGCTGAAGGAGAAGAACGAGGAGCTAAGGTGGGAGAAGTGGCATCAAGGGCCGGAGAAGGTGAGTGAGGGGCTCAGTGAGGCAAAGGGTGCAGGACAGCTTGTGGGTGTAAAGAGATGAGGCGGAACAACAGGTACCCACTTGAAAAGAACTGAAGTGGCCTCAATAAGAGCTTTTCCCCTGAGCTTCCTTCAGTCCATACACTCTCTCTCGAGTGTCTCCCGATGGCCTCCGCTTCCTGAGCCCACCTCGCCCACACGCTGCACGCAGCAACACGCACCCACACGCACCCATCCGGCTGGGTCTCACTGCCTGGTCATCTCCTTACAGGCCCTGCACTTTCCTTGCATTTGCTCAGTCTAGTTTTAAGTGACCTGCTTAAGTGTGCATCAGTTTCTCTTCTATGTGAAGCACATCTGTGAGGGCAAGAATGACAAAGCTTTGCCTTCCCTTGTTTCTTCTGTGCCTGCACACAGAAAGTCCTCAATAAATACTTGCTGACTGGGCGCCTGGGTGGCTCAGTTGGTTAAGCGACTGCCTTCGGCTCAGGTCATGATCCTGGAGTCCCGGGATCGAGTCCCGCATCGGGCTCCCTGCTCAGCGGGGAGTCTGCTTCTCCCTCTGACCCTCCCCCCTCTCATGCTCTCTCTGTCTCATTCTTTCTCTCTCAAATAAATAAATAAAATCTTAAAAAAAAAAAAAATAAATAAATACTTGCTGACTGAATAAACAATGAAGGTAACTTTCCAGCCACTGCTCCATCCATTTCACTTCCTGAAGGAACAGGAACCCAGGGGGCAAAAGTTCTAGATCTAGGGCACTCGTTCCCAATACTGGAATGCTGGGACTCCACAGAAACACGCTTCTGCAGGGCTGTTAGATGCCCTGTTTCTCAGGACTCACCCGCAAAAATGACTGCTTCTCTCCACAAGCTTTGCATGTCCACTTGAGACTCTTTTTCTCCTACAATCAAATTCCAGAAATTTGGCTTAGATGATTATTTATAACAGGTGGCGCTGAATCAAAAATAATGATTTTAAAAGATCAATGGAGAAGCACAGAAGTCTAAAAACAAGCAACATATATGTAAAAAACCTAGTATATTATAAAAGTGGCATTTTAGGAGTAAAAAAACAGACCAATAAATGATGCTGGGAAAACTGCCTATCCATATGAAACAAAGTCAAGTAGATTTCTACTACTTCCACAACATTTAATTTCGATTCTTGATAAATTTAACTAGATGGGTTCTCTCTTAACATGAAAAAATACCTTACATTCAGCTCTAAAACTGGAAAATCACTACCAGCACGCCCATGAAAATCAAGAACAAGCTGAAAAATCCCCATTACTATTCAACTATTGTTGTTTTTCTGCCAATGAAATCGGAAAAGAAAAAGTAATAAGAGGTATGAAAACTGGAGAAGAGGAAAAAAATTATCATTATAGATATGATTTTTTTTTTTTTACCGGAAAACTCAAGAAAATCAAACGCAAAACTACTAAAAACAGTAAGATAATTTAATATAGCGGGGCTGAGTACAAAGTTAATATAGCTTCAAAAGTTAATAGAGCCTTTATATAAGCAAATACCTAGTTAGAAAAGGTAATGGAAGAGTCCATTTAAAACAGCAACAAAGAAAATGTTATCAAAGGACACAAAGTTGCTTAAAAAGATGGAATGAAGTAGCATGCTTAACATCAAAAAGATGCCTGGGTTGATTTATCAAAATTAATATGAGTATGATCATAATACAAAAACCATCAGTTTTTTTGGTGAAGTACCCAAAAGGATTCTAAGGACAGCAGCACCTAAAGCACCTGCTACAAATTTATGTGGGCATATCCTACGATTCAGCAATTCTAATTCTCTAGCATCCAACTTCAAGCACCATAAAAACACTGCTTTCTTTGGGTATATCTGCAAGTAAGAAATGCACTTATTTAAAAAAAAGGTCTGGAAGGACACGCAGTAACTGGCTAGCTCTGGGGGTCTGGAGTCTGGAGAGACAGTATGGGCTAACAGGATCTTTGCAGTCAGACAACCCTGGATCTGCCATTTATTATTAGACCACGTGACTTCTCTGGATTTCTGTATTCTCATCTCTGTAAAATGAGAATGATAGATACCTAATCCAGAGGTTGTTGAGATTAAATGGGATGTGTGAAATTGTCACATCTGCAATTACTGTTAACTCTTTTCTCCCTTTAGTTTCAAATCACTTTTCATAGTTGAAAATGACCGTTGAGTGCGTACTACATATGTATAATAATTAAAAAATGGAAATGATATCCATTTAATCTCAACTCCTAAAACACAGTCCAAAAAGTGAAGTAAGTAAAAACAATTTCTGAGCCCCCAAATAGCCCTTAGGGTCTCAGTAAGCTTACAGGTGCATATTCAGCATCTGACTTTTTTTTAAACATTCATTTTGAAGAAGGTGGATGTTATCCCTTTTCAGGGCACAGCAGATAAGCAGGTAACTAGGGGGAAGAGAGAACTGTCAGAAGTAGATTCGCTCGACGGCACTGTTAGGTGACATCAAGCAGAAAGATGAAATGCAATCCAGGATAACAGGCTAAGTGACTTCCCCTATCTTGCGTCTTGAAAGTCAGGGAAGCAGTACGTTTTGGAGATACCGATTATCCTGTTCAAAACACTCCATGCACGGGCTGTTTACCGTCAGCGGAACAGTCCCTCATCACGAGCATGGAGACACCGCAGAGCGAAGGGGTGCACAACAAGGCACGCCCAGTCGTGTCTCAGTTTTAAAAACTGTCATCTCCCTAGGAGCTAAATTAAGAAAGAGCCGCGTTGGGAGAGGCTATCCTCAACCTGCTTTTCCCAACTATCTGCAAGAGGTCACGAGGCCGGCTCCGCAGAAACCATGCCCCCTGGTTTCTACGAATCTTACAACCACCATGCCAAAACCTTTAAAAAAGCCCTGAACGACGTTATGAAGAGGTATCAAAACCCAATCCTCGGAGCCAGTCAACGTCACGAGTCCGGGCGTCAGGGAGACCCAAGCAACCGCACGGGACGGCGCCCGCGCCTGGGGGCAAGGCACCGGGAGGAGGCCCGGCCCCCCGCGGCCCCGCCAAATCCTGCCCGCCCTCCCCGCGCCCGGAGGAGGGGGAGGCCGGTGCCCACCCCACCTGGTGCGCCTGGAAGAGGCGACAACTACAGCAGCGCAGCACCCGCACCCGCTGTGAGGGTGCCATGGCGGACCCCGTCGCCGCTGCGCATGCGCGCTGCGCTCCTGTCCGCCCCGGCGTCGTCTCCCGCACGCGTTCCCCGTCCTCCAGACCCCGGCGCCGCCTCGCGTGCGCGTGCGCTCTGCGCTTCGGCCCGCCCCCGCTCCGCCCCCTCCCACTGAGGCGTTCGGGCCTCTCTAGCCCGCCGACCGTCTCGGCGGTTCGTTGGGGGTACCTGTGGCCGTGACCCGGGAGCTCAGCGGCATTGCTGGGGTTTGCGTCAGCCAGGTCACCGACTTGCTGTCTGGGCCGGGCCGGCCCCCGTCTCTTCCTAAGCCCGCGTCTCCGCTGCGGCTCGCTGGGAAGACTGAAGTTGCAAGGGCAGGTCGTCCAGCCGCGACTCCGGGTCCGGCCTTTGCCCGCGCCGTTCCCTCTGCTGCTTCTGGTCGCAGACAGGGAGCGGGAGGGCGCCTCCCCGCCCCGGCCCAGCCCCTGGGGCTCGGGGTTGGAATTCGCGGGACCTCTGGGCGGAGGCGGCCTTTGGTAGCCATTGAGCCTGCACCCCGAGGGCTGCGGCATCCAGGATCCCGGGGGGCTGGCTCACCAGCCCCACGCTTCCCGGAGACGAGAAGCGGCTGTGAACGAAACCAGCCCCCCCCCCCCCGGGGAAGCCCCACGGCGACCCACTCTGGAAAGTTGGGGGGCAGGAGCCCTTCTGTCCCAGCCGCTCTGGGACGCACCCTAACGCCATCTTGTTAGCGTTACAACACCGGATCCTGACAAGGATGTGGGAGAGGAACCCTTCTTGCCGGATTCTGGGAGAAGGGTCAGATGGAAAAACCATTACGGAAGACGATCTGGCAGTTACCCTACACTAAGAAAATAATCTGACTCACCCAGATTTATCATTTGTGTACGAGTGTTCACTGACGTATAACAGGAAAATGGAAATAGACGTGCTAAAGCATGGTCGCGGGCGCCTGGGTGGCTCAGTTGGTTAAGCGACTGCCTTCGGCTCAGGTCATGATCCTGGAGTCCCGGGATCGAGTCCCGCATCGGGCTCCCTGCTCGGCGGGGAGTCTGCTTCTCCCTCTGACCCTCCTCCCTCTCATGCTCTCTCTCTCTCATTCTCTCTCTCAAATAAATAAATAAAATCTTTAAAAAAAAAAAATGGTTGCTTACTGTAACCCAAAATGGGCCATCACGCAGGTCCATTACAGAGAATCTGAGTCCGACGTGCAAATGCCGGCATGTGTATTGATGGAAAACAGAGAAGTTACAAAGAGCATGTAATTTGAGTTAGGTAAAACCAGGCATTATTTATTTCCAGGAGCGGGGTGGAGGGTTTACGGTTATAGAGGATTTAAAATTGTTTATATTTTCCAAATTTTGCACAGTAGCCTATATGAGAAAAAAACAAATTAGTTTAAAAAATTGTTTGAGGGGCTGGCTCCTGGGTGGCTCAGTCGGTTAAGCAACTGACGTCTGCTCAGATCATGATCCTGGGGTCCTAAGATCCAGCCCCCATTCTCCGTCTCTCCCCCACCCCCGCCGCCCCGTAATCGCTTTCTTGTGGTTCTCTCAAATAAATAAATAAAATCTTAAAAAAAAATGAGAGGATGGATTTACAAACGGACTGTGGCCAGACCACATATGACAACCTTTATAGCAAGCAATGCCGAACGCCCCCCAAGCCAACCTACAACCTCTAGAGCAGACAGGACTTGGTCAATAACTGCCCATTTCCCTATATTCTGCACTTCCCTCTTCATCTCAGGACCAACCAGAGAAAGCCAATTACCCTCCTCACACCAACAAAAAAGACACCCTTTTAAGGTAGCCAACATCCACTTCCAGGCCAACAGCCTCTAATCAGAGCACACCTTAAGCCTTCCCTTGTTTTCACGCTAAGGCTTTCCCACTCCTCTACCTTTGAGTCTCTGCCAAATGCAAGGAATGATGGCTGACTCCTTTTCTATAGCAAGCTCTAGATATATAGTCCCTGTTCTCATTTGGGTGGTCTTTATTTTCACGTGTTCGAGTTATTGTGGCTGAAAGAAGAAGGCATCTGAAAAGAATGTTTTATGCTTAATGAAGAGCAGAATAAAAATTTCATGGGGCACCTGGATGACTCAGTTGGTGAAGCAGTGAAGCTATGATTCTTGATTTCGGCTCAGGTCATGATCTTCGGGGTTGTGAGATCCAGCGAGAGCACAGAGTCCGCTTGAGATTCTTTCTCTCCTGCTCCCTCTGCCCCTCCCCCCCATGTGCATGCACTCTCTCTAAAATCTTAAAATTTTTTCGTATGTGGTATGGGTTCAGGTTTGAAAAAGATGGTCGCTTACTGTAACCCAAAAAAACAAAAAAATAAACACAAAAATACTGAGTAATCTTAAATACTGGGAAAATTGTTTTTCTACTTTTCTGTATTTTTCCCTTTCTATAATAAATATGTAATCTTTAAAAATTCATATACTTTTCTTGGGAATTATAAAATTGACTTGGTTTGGCATAACATCACTTGGTAAGCAGTTTTAAAATATTACGTTTACTTACAGAAGAGAAGTATTTTTAAAGCTTTACTTGTATTATCCTATTTTTTAGTGTTACTGTTCTGGTTATTTTGAATGTCATTGCAGGTTGAATGATTAATAGATGAAAGTACTGTTGTACATTTTTGTATATTATTTTATCATATGAAAGGCTAGATTCCTGTTTTATATTCTTCTGTTTAATTTCTTTGGCATATTCTTACATTTAGACTTCTACATGATATGTAAAATACTTATCCAAATTTCACATTATTTAAATCTAATTGATTATGATTTAAGACTTAAAACTGCCAACTTTGTGGGATTTTTATGTATATCTTTACTTAATTTCATTATGGCCAAGAATATGGTCTTTCTGATACGAACCCTTTGAAATTACTTTATGGCAAAGCATGTAGTCAGTTTGTGTAAATACTAGGAATGAAATTACATTGATTAACGACATTTTGTTGTTGTTAAGAAAGCAGTTATTCAGTTTCCTTGATGTTGTTTTGCTGCATTTATTGAGATGGGACCCAGCAGTTGTGAACAAGGTAAAATCATGGAGACCGTTATTTAAAAAACCAGCCACAAAACCTATAGATAGAAAGTAGATTAGCGGTTGCTTGGGGCTGGGGGTGGGAACAGCGATTGGCTGCACGTGGGGAGGAGGGTGATAGAAGTTTTCTAAAATTGCATTGTGGTGATAGTTGCTCAATTCTGTAAATTTACTCAAAATCATTGAATTATAACTCAAAACGAGTGAATTTTACGGCATGTAAATAATGCCTCAATAAAGCTATTAAATTAAAAAACAAAAACAAAAACAGGGGCACCTGGGTGGCTCAGTTGGTTAAGCATCTGTCTTTTGATCTCAGCTAGGGTCTTGATCGCAGGGTCGTGAGTTCAAGCCCTACACTGGGCTCCAGGCTGGGCAGGGAGCCTACTTACAAAAAAAAAAAAAAAAAAAAGAGGAAAAAACCCCCAGCCCCAGATGTACCTTTTTTTTTTTTTTAAGATTTTATTTATTTATTTGTCAGAGAGAGAGCGTGTGAGCAGGGGGAACTGCAGGTAGAGGGAGAAGCAGGCTCCCCGTCGAGCAAGGAGCCCGAAGTGGGGCTTGATCCCAGGACCCTGGGATCATGACCTGAGCCGAAGGAAGACGCTTAACCAACTGAGCCACCCAGGCGCCCCTCAGATTTATCTTTCAGTAGAAGAGATGCCCCACGTGATAGCGGTGGGGAGAGGGGTGAACGCTAGACACTGATGATCAGCTCTTGCTACAAAGCTAGGGGGTGCTCATGGCTCAGCCTGTCACCTGTGGCCCCACAGCAACTTGCTGAGCCCAAGTGCTTGCTGCAGCCCAAGCCCAGGCCAACACCTGCACCCACTGGACCCAGGCTGTTTGTGCCTGAGGTACTTGGGACTCTCCCTCGGCAGAGGTCAGCTCAAGCCCTACTGGGCCTGCATCAGTACTTTCTGTGCCCTCATTCTCCCTGGGGACCTGAACCCCCACCCCTGTGGGGGTCTAAGTGCCCAGAACCTCCAGAACATGGCCTGGGCCCCCACCTGCCTGGGAAGAAGCCAGAAGCCCAAGCAGTAGCTGAGGCCACATTAAGGCTCTGTACACAGTATGGTATTGATTTCTTTCGGGGGTTTATTAAGGCATTGAGCACAGTGTGATTTTCAGCCAACTGAAATGAATATAAGGAAATCTATCAGGACCTGAGGGATGTGCTTTTAAGGTTAATGGTGAGGCTGACGAGCTGAAAGAGCATTTAGAGTAACGCCCGCACGGCATCCGCCCCGATGCACTAGACACTTTGTGCCCGTGTCCCTCAGCCAGGGGCTCAGGGGCTCCTAGGGAGCACCCTGATGCCCAACGGGATCCCCTGCCTGGTGCCAAATGGCAGGAAAGCCCCCTGGAGTGCTCAGCTGCAGGACCGCCCCCCCCCCCCCACCCGCGCCAGAGTGGAAGGTGCCGTGTGGCCTAGCCACTGAACGGGGCACAGAGGCATTGGGCAAGCAGGCCAGGACGGACAGCCTCTGACAGGACACAGGGACCGAGGCGGGTCCCACCAGGCAGGCAGGAAGAGGGGGCTGGGAGCCTCTGTCTGGGCCCAACTGGGGCTGTTCAGCCTTTTTTTCCATTTACAACTCACTGCATCTGGGGAGAACAGGAGGGGTGCGTCCTGAGGGAGAAAACAGAACAGGAGGGAGGAGGGGGCGAGTAGGAGAGACAGGCCAGGTCCCCGTCAGCCTGAAACTCCAGACTGTTCGAGGTCACTGGACGTGCTGAATTGTCTCTCCACCTTCTTTTGGTCCTTGATCTTGAGCCCAATGTCCACCCTCTTCTCAAAGAAGTTCACCAGAACGGATTCTGTCAGGATGGAGGCCAAGATCTGCTCGAAGGAGATGCACCAGTCTGTGTCGACGGTGCCCCCACCGCGGGTGGGGGCCGGGGGGCTGCGGGCCTCCGCGCCCACCAGCACCGTGTCGTCAGCCAGGTCCTCGCACTGCAGGGAGCCTGTGCTGACCACCGAGTAGGAGGACATGGACATGTCGTCTTTGGTTTCATCATCGGACAGCAGCTGCGAGGGGGAGCCCCGGCCCTCGCCACTGCCCCCGTCACCCACCACCTGGCTCTCCTGGGGCGCTTTCCCGAGGGGGGTGTCTCCCCCCGCTCTGGCCTGGGGGTCACCGGCAGCTGGAGGCTGAAGCTCCGGGGCTGGGTCCTGTGCGGGGTCAGGGGCTGGTGGCTCGTCATCCTCGGGGGCACCATCCCTGGGCTTCCTGCCTGGCTGGGCGGAAAACTTCTTCCCCACCTCGCCGATGCGGAGCAGCAGGCTGGCCACCGTGGCGATGGCGTGATACAAGTCCTGCTCCATGGGGTCCTCGCTGAACATATTGTACAGCGTCTTGCACAGCTCAATGAACTGCTCCTTTTCAGGGAGACACAGAAAAAGGGCGGGGAGACGGTGAAATCAGCCAGATTCCAGTCTGGGATCAGCCAGACTGCCAGTGCTGGGCTGTCTTGTTCGTGGTCTCCAGGCCTGCGCCTTGCTGTGCCCATTTCACAGACCGGGACATGGAGGCGCAGAAAGGGACAGCGACGCGACCAGTATCACACAGCCTTAGAAGAGCTTTCTCTTCCAGCTGCCTTTCTTTCAGCACAGACAGTGCTGGGAGCCTCTCCCTGTCCCTATCACCGTGCTGCTGGCTGAGCCAGACCGAGTTCTATACCACTGCCCAGACCCAGGGGCTACAGGACTTCTTCAGTGTGTTTCAGAATCGCCTTGAGTTTTTCATCTTCAACCAGGTGGAGGGTGAGGACAAAACAAGCACAGCCTGGGTCCGTTGAGGGGGTGGGGAGGTCTGACACCGCACTCAGGCCTCCTGCCTCGCTCCACGGGGCACCCCATTCTTCAGGATGCAGGTGAGAGACGCCCAGACCACAGGTGCCTCTCTGGGCAGGGCAGGGCTGTGGTCAGGCTGCGGCCAGCGCTGAGACCCTTGGCAAGATGCCGGGCTCCCGACCCAGAGGCCAGCGCCTGAACAAGGGGCGGTGGGTGGAGCAGGCCTGCGTGAGCACGGCAGCTGGGAGGGCCTGGGAGGAACAGGAGCGTTGGGGGGATGACTCGTAAAGGGGTCGTGTGGGCCTGTGTGTCAGAGGCTCACCTTCCCTACTGCCTCTCTGCTGCATAGATACTGACGGAATGTGAACGAGCCATCGCCAGCAACCACCACCCAGGATAAGGCCCCAAAGCAACTGGCCTGCTGTCCTTCTGGAATCGTCCCTGACTGCTGTCTGACTAGCAGGTGCAGGAGGTAGGCAGGTGAATTTCCACCCTCCAGCAGGCACTGGGAGGGAGGGTGGGGAGCCGCTGGATGGGGGGAACCCAGCCTTGGAAGTGTCTGTTGTGGGCTCTCAATGGGCCTACCTGGTTCATTTTGGGAAGATCCTTAATCGTCTCCTTCTGAACCTCTTTCTCTTTGGCCCACATGCGAAGGTAGTGCCGATAGTCAGGAGGGCTGGTCCCCTTCTCCTCTGTGTATTGGGAGAAAAAAAAATCTGTCAGATCGAGCTGGGGGCCGGTAGCAGGCGGTGAGCGGGTTTCAGTTTTGTCTGGCACAGGGTTACCTGGGCCCTTTTATGAAACACCCCGGTATTTGGGGAGATGGCAGTGGGAAGAACACTCCAGAACACCCGGATGTCTCCCCTGAGTTCTTATGCTAGGGTAAGGCCTGAGCTGACCAAGAGGGCCCCAACCTGTCTCCCCCAAGATGGCGAAGGAGGGACGTGGAGGCTGCAGAAAGCAGGTGCCCTGGAATGAGGTGGCAGTGGGGTGTGGGGGGTGTATTCACAGTGACAAGAGAGTCAGGCCCGGGGCTGATGAGAGTGGCTTCCCCTGGCAGCTGGCTTCCCTGGGTGGGGGCCTCGCCTGCAGGGAGGAGCCCCAGGATCTGCATCGGCACTGGGAACAACGGCCTGCCTGTACCTCTTTTTTCTTGGCCGTCGTCATTTCCGCCTCCCTCTTGCTCTTCCTGCCGTAGTGTTTCTGGACAACCGGAAAAGAGAAAGCACACAGGGAATACCCCCGTGTTGCGGCTGCAAACCTCGGAGGCCTGTGAGCAGCCCCATCCCATCTCCCGCCGAAGCAGAAGCCCAGGGCCCGCTCGCCTTCTTCGCCTGCTTACGGGGAACCAAGGCGCCGCCAGACCCGCCTTCCTCTCTGCCAAAGGAATATAAGTCTCGACCCTCGCCGAGAAAAAGCCCGAGAACTAGTTTCTCTAGTGTCTGCTGAAAAGGGTCAAACCCAAGGCGGTCCTGATTCTCAGTTCAACCCTCCACCAACCACTGCACTGACTGATGAGGAATTGTGTGTACGGGAATTCTGTGCCGGGCACCATATTTCTTAAAGTGACACATTTGCTGGAGGTGGCCCACACCGTCCCCTGTGGGGCCCATGAACATGGGGAGCAGCAGGTGGCCCAGCTCTCCCAGACCTGCGGGCCACAAGGCTGCCGGGGGACCCTGGTGGGTGGCAGCCTCCCAGCGCTGTTGGCGATGGCGGGGAGTCTCTCTGCGCTCAGGCTTCTCACTGCCGAGTGGAGGCCCACTGCCGGGGGCTGCGTGCAGTCTGAGGACAGGGCTCTGTACCCCTGGGCCCCGGCCTTAACTGGAACCCCCGGGGAAAGCTGGGAAGGGCCCGTGATTTTCCCAGATTCTGAGTATAACAGAAGACCCATCTGTTTCTTTGGATCGTGCACCTGAGGCTTCCTATTAAGTTCAAATTACGCCTTCTGACACCACCAGCAGGCCTGCCTTGGCTATCTGGATACGCACTGTGTTTCTCTTTTGGCTGTGTATTATCCTTGCTGGGTACTATCTGCCACGAGGACTTACAGGCGGGGGTTTTAGTCAACCCCAGGCCCGGAATGCCCCATCACCCTGGATCTGATGCCCCCAACGGGCTTTACATGTAGCAAGGAACGCCTTCGCAAAGGCACTCAACAAATATATCTTTCCTTAAGCCCATCTAAACACCTGGTCATGTAGGCCATGAGGACATTTTCCACCGCCCTCCTCCACCTGTCCGTTTCACACTGTGGCCACGATGGCATCTGGGCTTTCTCCCATGAGCGTGATGATGGAATACTGTTTGCGTGCGGCCGCGGAGCTGAGGCCCCGGTGCCGTGCCATGCATCCTCATTTACTAGCCCCCTCGACAAGCACAGAGGCCGCCCCTCTCCTCCCCAGTAAGCTGCGGCTTGGTCCTGGGTCCTCCTCGGGAGTCATCCACACAGGAGGCATCCCTGGGACCAAGCGTGTCCAGGCCTCCTGACCATGCGGGGTGGGGGGTGGGGGTGTTAGGCAGACGCAGCCCAGCACAAAGCGGGTGCCCCTGACCCCCAGGGACTGACCTTGAGCCTCCCAGGGCAGGAAAAGGTCCAGATCTGAGGCCAGAGGAGATGCTGGGAGAGCAGAGGAGTGGATGAGAGAGGGAGAGAGAAGCCAAGGTCCAGGAAGGCAGAGACAAGAGAAACAGGAGTGAGAACACCCCGGGGGGGGGCCCTCCCAGAGAGATGCCGTTGCCGTCACCCGTGGCTCCCCAACACAGCACGCTCCCCAAGCCCACCGAGGGCTGCGGGCCACCTGTGCGGGGCCCCACGACGGCCCGGCTGCAAGGCCAGAGGCCCCTGCACCAGGGTCGGCGGCGCTCACCTTCTGAGGAGCTGTCCTCGGTGAAGTAGTGGGTTGCTTCCAGGGCTGACTCGGCCTCCTCCGGGCTCAGGGCTGTGCTCAGAGGGAAAGGTGAGTGAGGGCAGGCCCGGCTCCCCACATGGCGTGCCCCGCCGCCTGCCAGGGCCCGTGATATGGCGTGGGGTCAGAGTAGTAACGATGATCACGGATCCCGGGTAGTGTTCCTTTCTTGACTTTCATGTTGTGTTTGAGAACGTCACATGTAGCCCATCTAAACACCTGGTCAGTGCAGCTGGGAGTCCAGTGAATGGCCAGCCCCCCCTTCACTGCCCCGTTGGTGGGGTGCAGAGCACTCTGTGGGGACCAGGCCCCTGCGGGCAGCCACGCAGGCACCAGCCACGCACAAGGGACTTGCTCTTCTCACTCTATGCATCTTGGGCATCGTTCCACATTGGTACGTTCTTTGTGATGAAGTGGTCCCCAGGGTTTCAGACCCACATGGTTCTGGGGGGGGGCTCATTCTCCCCACCGTGCGGTCGGGGATGACAGGGGTTGAACAGGTGGCACTTGGGGGAGGTGGCAGGGTGTGGGCTGTGGGTTCCGGGAGGCAGATACAGGTGCCTCGGGAGTTGGCAAAGGTGGCCCCACGTGCCCTCACCTGGAGGACCCCAGCCCAGTGGGGTCTGCCCAACCCAGGCCTTTCCCTCAGCAGAGTCAGACATGGCTGGCACCCACCTTCCCTGGAGGCGTCCCTGAGGCCAATGTCCCGTGTTGGATTCCAGGTGAGATCACCTGTGTCAAGGCCTGGGGCTTCCAGTTCTGGCCACACAGAACCACCCCCCAGGGGAGCTTTAAAACTGCATTCCGGGCCAACGAAGTGATGGCCTCTGGGGAGCGCACAGCGCCGGTGTTCCAAACACCATTCCGCCCCCTTGCACGCAGCCGCTGACTCCCTGGGGCAGTTCGTGAACAAGAGCAGGGACCCAGGGTGGCTCCACCCCAGAGCAGAGCGCCCCGGGCTAGAACTCTCACCTGCCTGAGTCTCAGTTTCCCCCCTGAAAACGAGGGAACCTCATCTTGGAGAACTCTCCATGCTGGGCAGGGTGAGCTGGGCGCACACAGCGGGAACCCACAGATTATGGGATCTGGCCTGGGGACCAGCTGCCGGTCACCCTTCTCCCCACCCTGTGACCTCTCAGTGTCCCCAGGAGGCTCAGGCAGAGTGTAGAGAAGCCAAGGGAGAGCAGCCCCTGTTCATGGCTGCACAACGGGGCTACCCAGCCATTCTGAGGGCCTCGGCAGTGCCCCCAGGCTGAGCCTCTGGGGATCAACAGGAGCGGCCTGTGACCCACCTGGGTCCCCCTCAGCCAGGCCGAGTCGCCTGAGACACTCCCTCTCAGGTTATGCCCCCGCCCCAGGGCTCCGGCCTCCTCCTGACCTGCTCTGCCAGGATGTGGAGCCCCCCGGGCTGCCTGAGGCCCAGCAGCCCACAGAGGCCTGTGCCTTGGGACGCTGCAGCCCCCCCTCGGTACACGAGAGGCCCTTGCTGGTGGGTCGGGGAGGAGGCTCTCACCTGGGGGCAGATGCAGCTTGTACAGTGCCTTGAGCTTCTCTGTCAGGTCCCCACGGTACAGCCCACCTGCACAGGGAGGCCAGTGAGGAGGCCTGCTGGCAAGAGGGCACCAAAGCCCCCCGGCCAGTCCACACTGGAGCCCCTCCTCTTCCCAGCCTGACTCTCCTGGAGAGGTCCTTGGGCCCCAGGCCTCCCACTTGCCCCAGAGCTTTGCTCTTCTCAGGGGTCGCCAGACCCACGCTGAGCAGCCCTGGCCCGGGGGAGGTGAAGTGGAGGGGAGGACCCCACTGGACCCCCACATGTTCCCAGTGAGAAAACTGCCCTTTCCATATCAGGGGTGCTGTTGCAGGGGGAAGACTGGCTGGGCTGGCATCCGGAGGCCTCTTGAGGAGGGGCCCTGGGGCTACTCACTCATCCCCATCACAAACTCCTTGAAGTTGATCAGAGAGTCCTTGTTTTCATCCAGGAGCCGGAACATGCGCCCGGCCAAGACTGGCGTGTGGGCGCCGCAGGCCCAGGGCGTCAGGCTGGCGAAGAGCTCTCGGAACTGGCTTGCGTCAATGCGGTACTGCTCCAGGTAGGGCAGGCTGGGGTCCCGACGCACAGCTGTGGGCCGGCTGCCCCCCCAGTACTGACTTGCCAGGTGCTTGGCCTGCAGGCGGCACAATGTGGTGAGACGGCTGGGCCTCCCAGCGCCCCGGCGCTTAGGACCGCCCGGCTGGTCAGTGTGTCCTCCCCGCTCTGCTGTCCCGAGTCAGCACAGTCCCGGGGCTGGGAGCACTGGGCCCGACACAGCATCTCCCAGAACCGCCCACACAAGCACCATCAGCCTCTTGTTGACAGACGCAGGAGCGGAGACACAGCCCCAGGGCTGCTGGCCACAGCAGGTCACAGTGGTGAGAGGCGGCACTGCCTGGACCGTTCCCACCATAAGGCTCAGGTATGGCTGCCAAACCAGAGGCCATGGGTAACCGACAACAGGCGGTCTGGACTTAGCTGTTTCTGCCTGCTCTTCACACCTGTTCCCCTTCTTCTGTTAACAGCACCCGAAATTTTTTGGGAGAGCCCCTCCTGTCCACATCAGGCCATGGGGTGGGCGCATGGCCTAGATTTGGCTCAACAATAAACACCCTCCTATAGCCACAGCACCTAACCTGAGTTAGTCCAACAACTAACCCTGGATTTTTTGTTAAAACCACTTGGAAAGAAAAGGCTCTTTCCCCTGAGAGAGCGGGATGACCCTGGAGCTGCAGACGACAGTCCTGCCATTCTGTAGGAAGACCAGTCCAGAGGACATCTGAGGTAGGGGAGCTTGGCAGCACATTTAAGCCCCTTGATCCAGCCATGCCTGAAGGTGTGAATTCCTAGTCTTTCCAGTAACATGAACCAATGCATTCCCTCTTGTGTAAGCTGACTTCAGTGGATTTTCTGCCACTTAAGAAAGTGTCCTGCTGAAACTCCATGAAGGATTAAATTCTGCCACACGAGGTTTGTGGCAACTGCATCTGAAGATGCTTTTAAATCAATTTCTCGGAGCACCTGGGTGGCTCAGTCTGTTAAGTGTCTGTCTTTGGCTCAGGTCGTGATCCCAGGGTTCTGAGATCGAGCCCTGCATTGGGTTCCCTGCTCACAGGAAACCTGCTTCTCCTTCTCTTCCCTGCTCATGCTCTCTAATAAAAATCGATTTCTCCTCTGGCAGGAGCTTGCTGCACCAAGGACGTACTTAGGGGACTAGGATGGGGTACTGGGCCTGCCCTCGCTCTTGGCTGTCACCTTAAACACCATGTAAAGGTCCTCCAGCTCTTCAATTGAGAAACCAATGTCCCCAGGTATAGCTCGAACCTAGAAGAAAAGAGAAATAGCGTGTACTGACGGATTCTCAAGTTCCAGGTCTCTGAGAGAATCCCCACGGGACGAAGGCTAACACAGACCATCCTGGTGAGATTGCCGGCTGGCCAAGCCCTCGACAGCAGTCCATTCAGGGAAGGAGGTATGGACCACAGGCTTATCCCTGGTCACACATCCCACCACTCAGTCCACACTCTCCAAGGTCCTTCTTGGTGAGCGCTGGGGGGGCCTTTCTGTCCCGAACACCCAGTCAGGGACACAAGGTGAGGGGCAATCCTGTGGTGACTGCCGTCTGGATCCTTGGAAAGACTCTGGCACTGGCTCTCCGGAAGGTGTCCTAGAACTTCCCAATAAATGCTCTCTCCAGAGTTGGGGAGGACAAAGGCTTATAGCAGAGGCACAGTGGGCTGGATAGGTGGAGGGTGGCCGAGCGCCGCTACCCAGGGGCAGGGGCGAAGCCAGCAGGCTTCAGGGCTCAGCCCACAGCAGGAAGACTCTTGGCCTTTAGGCGCTGGTGGGGGGTCAGAGAAGCTTTGCAGTGACCAGCCCAGGAGCAGAAAACAGTGACCAGGCCTCTCCCACTTCCTCAAATTTGCACCTTCACTCCTGGATTCCAGTCCCACACGACTGGACTAGGGGGCTCTGTACCTGGCCCTGTGGGCAGGAGCAGCCCACCTGGGTCACGACCCCCGCCCCACCCCCCACCCCCCAGCAACCTGCGGCCGTCAGAGCCCAGCCCCGTCCGTACCACGCTCCGCTTGGCTGTGTCCTCCAAGGACTGGATCACTTTCAGCCTCTGTTTAAACCGCATCTGTTCGATGTCGTCGGCCCTCAGGCTGCTGAATTTCTACTGGCCGGAGGGGACTCAGTGAGATAAGGCAGAACCACAGAGCAGAGAACTGCCCCGGGCCACGGCTGCCCACCCCCACATGCCCAGCTGGGGCAGGCCGGCCAAAGAGCCCCAGAGGGTGCTGACCTCATAGGACACTTTCAGGAGGTCGAAGATGTCCACTTCTGCTGGCGGGTCATCCCCACTAGTCAGCAGGGCATGGAGGTGTGGGATAGGAGGAGAAACACTCTGCTTGTTGACCACGTTATCCAGGTATCTACAAGGATTAAAGGACAGAAAGCTGGACCCCCCACAGGCAACGGGGGTCTCTCTCCTACTAAGTAACGTGGAGGGACCTAATCTGCCTAGACTCCCAATCAAGAAGCAAAGGTGCTGAGGACGGGGAACCCTCCAGGAGGGCAGGAGAGGAGTCCCTGACTGTGCGGAGGGCAGGCAGAGGCATGCCCAGGAGGGTGCCCTGGCAAGTCGGGGGTCCCCTGGAGGCAGAAGAGAGGCCTCACCCCTCATGAGGCCTGAGCACTAACTCTGGGAAGCCAGGCTGTCCTCTGGGGGTCCCTTGGGTCGGGACCCTTTTTAAGCCCAGACCCTACCACACCAGGAGAAAGGTCTGTCCCAGTGGGAGGGATGACAGGGTCCTGGGTTGGCTCGGCGGGCAGGTGGCAGCATTCCTGGCAGGCCAGGGTCGCTGGGAGTGTTCCAGGCCGGGTGAATATGCACACACGGCCAGCAGGACCCTACAGAGCTCAGGACCTGGGCCAGTGTGAGGCTGGGGCGGGGACCCTGGATCGGGGGGGGGACTCAGCTTCTCCGTCCAGAGAACCATGAGTGCACGGGGAGTCCCAGGGTCAGATTCTGAGGAGAAAGAGCTCTGTGGGCTACTGCTGGCTGTGGCCGGAGCAGAGGGACTGTGGGAGGCACAAAGGCGGTGGGGTGGGGAGAAGGGGCTGGATCCCAGATAGTCTGCTAGTGCTGGATGTGGGGACCTAGGGGGCAGGTGGCGGCCCATTCAGCTGTGGAGCTCACGAGAGACTTCCTGCCACAGCTGGCGCGGGCCCCTCCATCTAGGTGACGGTGACGGGGAGGGGGAGAGATGTTGCTGAGCCAGGGAAAGCAGCGTCAGGACTGCTCGGAGACAAGAGCAGGATACCCAACGTCCGCTAGGGGCTGGACTAGGGGGCTCCGGCTGCCGCCCCCCTGCCCCCTCCCGGGTGCTCAGGCCCATTTTATCGGCTCCCAGAGCTGTCAGGACCCAGGGCTGTTTGGCCGGCACATCCCACCAGGAAAAAGCCTCTCTCCTGCACCGCCCCCCACCAAGTGTGCACGTTGGTGCATGCTGAGCGAGGAGTGCCCAAGGCCGGAGATGGGGCCGGGCTCTGCCATCCACGGGGGCGCCAGCCAGCGGCCTGGTGGGAGGAGGGGGGCCGGCTCGGTCACCTGCCCAGGACGGTCATGGCCTCGCCCTCATCGCTGCAGCCCAGCAGCTGCTCCATGTTGGCATCCAGGATGGCCAAGGCCACCTGCAGGATCACCTTGATGCCCTCGTAGAAGAAGCAGTCAACGATGACCACAGCGCTCTCGAAGGGCATGACACTGAGGAAGAGGGTCAGGAACCAGGACAGGGAGATGCTGGAGATCACCCCCAGGTCCTGCATCTTCTCGGACAGCTGTGGCAGGAAGTCTCTCGTGAGCTCCTCGAAGATGCCTTGGTCCACCAGGGCCCCTAGGGAGAGGACAAAGAAGTCTGAACGCCAGGCCCAAGCCAGGGTGGGTGTGGGGAGCCGACCTGATCCCCGGCCAGCTCCGCTCACTCGCAGGGCTGGAGGAAACGGGAAACAGTGTGCGGGTTTCCCTCTACGGCGTCCAAACCACTGTGTGAAAAGAATACTTGCCCCCACTGTGCTTGGATCTGCTTGTGGGGAAATACAAATCTCTCCTTTCTAGAAGTGTCTGCCGTGTGTCCTGCCCTGAAGCTTGTGAACAGATGTATGATTATAAAGGACCCCGAGAGGGGGAGACCCCCAGAACCAAATGGTGGGGGAAGGACATCTCAGAGCCGCAGACTGAGTCACGTATGTAATTAAGTACGTTTGCCAACGCATCTCCACTTAATCACTCAGACTCTATGGGCTGCCGTTCCTAGTCGCTGAGGCCGGGTGACAGGCACCCGGGGATGTATGGACTCCCTGCCCTGGCTGCGATATGGAGATCTTGCACAGTAAAAAGCCTTGCGGAGAGTTACAGGGGTGAGAACAGAGGCCCCAGGCCTCTCACTGCCAGCTCCCGGGGAGCTGCATGCAGTCTGGGCAGACGGCCGGGAGTCTGCGTTTGGTCTCCACCTTCTAGCTGTGTGCTGATTTCTCAGCCTCCTCATCCGGGGAATGGGGGCCGTGAGTGTCTGCAGCCCACTGCGCATCTGAGAGGCCTCTGAGAGCTCACCCATGCAATGTGCCTGGTGCGGAGGCTGGCCCAGGGAGAGCCGCCACCCCGCGGGGAGCCGTGGGGCCCCAGCACTCACCCACCACCCTGGTGTTGTAGTAGTCGGGCAGCATGCGCTCACAGAGGGCCACCAGCAGCCAGAAGGCCTCCTCCTCACTGCCATAGAGCAGAAGCACGGACGTGACGATGTTCATGGCCTGTGGGCACGGAGACGGCAAGGGGGAGGCTCACAGGGCTGGGCCGCCAAGTAAAACCGCCCCGTGCCCCCAAGGGGCCTGCATGGCCTCACTCTCCAAGCAAGTCCCACAATGACAAACTATCCCACCCAACTCCAGGCCATTTGCCAAAAGGCCATTTGCAGGAAACCAATTTGACAAAAACCATCAGCCAGACCCCTCCAATCGGGCCAGTGGGCACTTGGAAAGCCGAGAGGGAGGGTATGAGCATGTGGCCCTTCTTCAGAGCAGTTTCTGGTGTCGGAGGTGTGACAGGGGGCCAGGCGGATGGAAACGTGAGCCCCATGCAACAGCTACACGGCTGCGGTGAAACGGCAGGGTGGGGAGGAGGGGGGCGGTGCACAGCCTGAGCCGATAGCAAGGCTTCTCAGAAAAAGCTTTCGATGGCAGAGCTTCTCTTAAAAATTCTCTAAAGCCAGCACACGGGCTTGCCCTGCCCCGGGAACAGGTCACGCAGAACACTGGCCGTACGGAAAGGGACTTCAGAGGGGGTGGCATGCTTCTGGGAAACCCAGACGTGGGCTCCGGGAAACAGAACGCCATCGGACTGGGCCGGGGAAGTGCCCCCCGGATGTAAAATTGGACGCTGCTGGAAGTGCAAGTCGAAACCACGATGAGATACCACCTCACGCCAGCAGGGTGGCTACTGCCCACGGACCGGAGAGCCAGTGTGGCAAGGGTGGGGGGCAAGTGGAACCCTGTGCATTGCTGGGGGGGCACGTAAAATGGTGCCAATGCCATGAACAGCACTATGGGGATTCCACACACACAAAATGGAAGGTCAGATTACCACACGGTCCAGCAGTTTCACTTGTGGGTACGGGCTCAGGAGAAATGAAAGCCGGGACAGGAACAGACACTGCACGTGCCTGCTCACGGTGGCGCTACTCACAAGAGCCCGAGGCGGAAGCCACGCAAGTGCGCAGCTGAAGATGCATGGGTGAACCGAGTGTGGCCTATTCGCGGAGTGCGATACGGTTCGGCCTCAAAAGGGGAGAAATTCTAACACGGGACGCAACAGGGATGAGCCCCGAGGACGCTGCGCTAAGGGAGTAAGCCGGTCACCAAAAGGCGAATCCTGTGTGACTCTGCTTCCAGGAGGTACCGAAGGCGGGCAAATCCATGCAGAACGGGGAACAGCAGGGGAGATGTCTGCAGACCCTCAACACCCAAATGCCCCAGCCCCCGGCCGCGGCACACAGAAGGCAGTATGTGCTATGGGGGGATGTGAACGGTGAACGGTGTCCCTAGGTACAGCTCTCTTGGGGGTCAGGCTTTTCCAGGGGGCACGGGGCACAGTCACTCAGGCCTCTGCTGAGCAAGCCACTGGCAGGAGATGCGGCCTCTGGGCCCGGCTCGCCCCCTTTACCTGACAGTAGCCGATGGTGGGGTTTCGGAAAGCGTAGGCGGTCAGCACCCGCCGGAGGGCAGCGATGCCCAGCTCGTTCTGGAAGGCGGGGTGCTCGGGCATGGAGCGGTGGAGGTCCCGCTCGATCTCCTCCGTGGCCAGGCTGGACTTCCCCGTGGACTTCTCCACCAGCTCAGCATAGTAACCAGGGTGCGTCACCATCTCGTTCCAGGCCCCTGTGGAGACACAGCTGGCAGCCGTCTCCCTCACCCTCCCCTCCCGCGGGGGCCCTGGGGTCCGTTAGGAGGCGTGAGGCAAGGGTTCCCTGGTGACCAGTCCTGGGAGGGGTCGCCCCCCCCGCCCCAGTTTGAATGGCCTTCTTGTGAAACCGTCCAAGTGGCCAAGGGCGTGCATGCTGGGAGCCCGTCCCAAGGAAAGGAGGCCCGCAAGTGGGAAGGCACTGTCTGGGCGACACAGCCCTGCCCTTGGTGCCTGCGCCCCAGGACGGTGCCCCTGGCTCGGGCCCCTCACCGCTGAGAGCCCCATTTTGGCCTAGGAAAGGGCTAGCAGCTCCTGTCTGGCTGACTTGGGAGGCCGGGTCAGGGGGGCTCTCACCCAGCGGCCCTAGGGGGCCGGGCCGACGCCGGGGCGGCTCACCAGAGAAGAGGAGCCACAGTTCCCCGCGGAGGCTCTCAGGGATGCCCTTCAGCACCAGCTCCCGCGTTTTGGCCGTGCGGTACATGCACACGCCGCGCCCGTATTCAAAGAAGTGAATGTTCCACGACTCCTCTTTCATCTTCTCCTTGGCCTAGGGAAAAGCAAGCACTGGGTCTGGGCGTGCGCACCGGGGCCCTCCTCCATCTGCGGCGCACGTCTGTGAGGGTCCAGGCTGGGCGGGGCATGGCACCACCCCGAGGCAGCAGCGAAATGAGCCTCCGTGCAGAGGCCTAGAGTCTGGGGTGACCGGCCCTGTCCCGCGAGTCGGGCAGGGTGCCCCTGGACAGTGTCCTTCGGGGGCCCGAGGACCTGAGGTGGCGTGCAGGCACGAAGCCCCCTCCCAGGCCCGGGTCCTGCATGGCGATGGGGTCCGCGCTCTGGGCTTACCCCCTTGGCCCCCAGGTCCTCCATGGGCGAGTTTCCCTGGAAGAGTTTAAGCAGCCCCTGCGATGCGGTCGGGGCCTCCTGCACACTGGAGCTCTGGCGGCCCCCCAGGGATGTGGTGGGGCTGGCGGGCTGATCTGAGGCCTCTGCAGGAGCTGGGGAGTGCTGAAAAACACAACACAGGAGGGAAAGCACCTGGTGAGTGAGCTACCCAGAGCGGGGTCTCTGATGTGCAAGCCAGTCGGCTGTTTGAGCACGTGGCCCCCGGCCTCGGGATTGGCTCCGGCTGGGACTGTCAGGAAAGAGCAGCGGGCCCCACAGAGCCCAAGTGCTGAGCCACAAAGTGGAGCGGAGGTGGGGCGACACCGGGGCCAGACCGGCCCGCACAGCCCTTTGCAGATGGACAGAGTCCTAACTGAGGCAATCGTCCCGCAGGAGCCCTTGATGACTGCTGAGCCAGGGAACGAGTCCTCTCTATCCCCTCTCCCTCAGGCGACCTGTCCACTGTGCCCTCAAGGGCCCTTCCAAGAAGAAGGGGCTCCCACAGGGCTGGCTGTTGCCCCAGAGCTCCCCGAGTTTCTGTCTTCCTCTGGCCCCCACGTCTGGTGTGTGGTGCACCCCACAGCGGTCACACAACCTCTTGGCTCTGGACACTCATGTCAGCTCAAGACTGGGTGCTGTGGCATCCGGCGAACTAGAACTGGGTGTGTGAGGCGGGCTCCCCGCCTGCAGACCATCTCTGCCATGGGCACCACAGGCTACTTCCCCCACAGGGCCTCGCCCCGAACGGGGCCTCGTGTGAGAGGGGGCCCCAGGTGGAAGCCCAGGGATCTTTCCCACCGCACAGCCAGCCGAAGGGCAAGAGGAATGGACCGTGGGGTGGCTCGGGGAACGTGCCAGGGTGGGGGGCAGTATGGGGCTGGCAGGGGGAAGGAGGAATCAGGGACAGAGGTCTGCGGGGGAGCCCTGCCTTTCAGGGCTCTTCCCCTGGCTTTCTGGAACCCTCCCCTGGCCAACGCATCTCCTCAGGGGAGCCCTGGCAGCCCTGACCCTTCAGGCCCAGCATGGCTGATGCGTGACATCTGTCTCCTGCTCGAGCACTGTCCCTGCGGCCTTCCAGGTGAGCTCGCCGTGGGTAATGGCCTGCGCAGGGAGCTTGTCTTGTCCCCTGGCCCAGGGGCTCAGGAGGGCCACAGCTGGTGCCCGTGTTCCCCTTGGCTCTCTCCCTGAGCACCCACCGGCAGGAACAACACTGCTCTGAGTGGACACTTGTCACTGGCTCCCCTCAACCCACTTCCCCTTCTGCCAGCAGCCAGCTCCCCATTTCTCTGGCGGGGGGCACATTTCTCTCCGCTCTTGGCTTGGCACTTTGTGGGCTCCACTGAGAACCGGGGTGAAGCCCTGAACTAATAATTAGCTGTTCCCACCCCAGGGCTCAGGGGGGCGGGGCTGGAGGCACTGTGTCACCTGGTCGCCACCGAGGACGTGCAGGGGTGACTCTGCAGGGAACGCTGGGATGAGCCGAGGATGCGGGGGTTGCCACCAGCATCCAGGTCCCACACATGGCCCGGGAACTAAGCCCTCCTGGCGGAAAGCCCAGTCCAGTGGGGAGAGGCCCCTGTGACGTCAGGCAGCCCACCGTGAGGACTTCTTGGCTTGTGGGCCAGTAAGCCCCACCTTTGCATGTCGTGCTCCAGCCTGGGTCTTGTCATCTCAGATCCCCCCAACGCCACCCCCCCCCCCGGCCACAGTCCCATCCTCCAAGTGGCAGGGACAGGGGATGCTGGTTGGCTTCCTGCAGGACTTCACCCTCTCTGTGGTCCTTGTAAGAGAGCCCTCTTCTCAGCTGTAGTGAAGGGTCCACAGAGAGTACGTGTTAAACCCACCGAACAGTACTCTTTGAATATAAATGGCATATTGTATGTCAGTTTTGCCCCGGAGATGCTGTCTTTAATAAAAAGGGGGGGGGGGGAGAAAGAATAGGAAGAGAACTCTGCTAGGTCCCATCCACAGTCCATCCCTCTGCCCCCGGCTGGTGTTCCGGAAGTGGATTTTGGGTCTGCTAGGATACATTTTCATGACGAACTGCGCAGTCTGTGAGGGCACAACGCCAGACCAGACCGACATGGAGATTCTGCTGCCCGCCTGAGGTTCCCCAAAGGGACCGGGACACAGATGGACCTGCAGGCCCCAGAGCACCTCCGAGAATCAGGCTCTCAGTGCTGCAGAAGGGCACGGACTCCAAGGTGTGGCCTTGGCGACGCCGTCCTGTGTGACGCCTGCGTGCGAGACAGGGAGCTCACAGGCCACGCCGCCTGGGAGTCCTGCATTTTCCTGCGCCCGTTCCTCCCGTGCCTGCAGGTGACCGCCTCACACATCGGTCCAGTGCCAACCTCCCGACCCACCTTCCCACCTCACTTCCTGCTCAACAGAACCTCTGGCCTCCTGCTAGACTGAGTGAGCGAGCGAGTGGGAGCAATCTGAGGCCCGTCGTGGCCACGGCCATCAGCCAGCCTTCCTGCATCCGTGGCCCACAGGCCCAGCCTTCTGCCTCTGGGACGGGGACCCTCCTCTAGGCGACTGCCCCCGCAGAGGGTCCATGGACGGGATCCATCCAGCAGGCGCCATCCCTACAAACCCTCCTCATGCTTCCACAGGGGGCACTCACACGCCGTGTGCAGTGAGCTGTCCACCTATGCTCCCTGCGCTTTAGTGTTGTTATACCTCAACTAAAGTGACCCGTTCTGCTCGGCTGACCTTTATAACAAACTCCTCAAAAGAGTTGTTGAAACTCACTGCTTCCTTTCCCCCAGTTTGCCAGGAAGTACACCTTCTCGTTCTGGTATCTAACATCCAGCACCCCGGTCCGTCCCCCCAGACCCTGTTGATCCCTCCTGTGGGCAACGCTGAAATTCGCGAGCGCGCCTCTTCTCGCCCTCCCTGCTCTCCCTGCTAATGTACAGTGATACACTTTCACTCCCAGGTAAGGAGGCAATCGATGAGCTTATTCTACTTTCCATGCCTTTTTTAAAAAAAGATTTTATTTATTTATTTGAGAGAGAGAGAGAGCAAGTGAGCACGTGCACGAGCAGGGAATGGGCAGAGGGAGAGGGAGAAGTAGACTCCCCACAGAGCAGGGAGCCCGACGTGGGGCTTGATCCCCAGACCCTGAGATCATGACCCGAGCAGAAGGCAGAAGTTCAACCGACTGAGCCACCCGGGTGCCACTTAAAGCCGTTAGATTTCTGGGGCGCCTGGGTGGCTCAGTTGGTTAAGCCTTCGGCTCAGGTCACGATCCTGGAGTCCCGGGATCGAGTCCCGCATCAGGCTCCCTGCTCAGCAGGGAGTCTGCTTCTCCCTCTGATCCTCCCCCATCTCATGCTCTCTCTCTCTGTTTCATTCTCTCTCTCAAATAAATAAATAAAAATCTTAAAAAAAAAAAAAAAGAATACAGTCTTCTCTCTTTAAAAAAAAAAAAAAAGCCGTTAGATTTCTTAAATTCCTCCATGTTCTTTACTTACTGCCTGTGGTCTTCACTCCTGAATCTTATTTTTCCCATATAAAATTCTTTGGTCATGTTTTTTTAAAATTATATATCTTTAAAATGTTACTCTTGGGGCGCCTGGGTGGCTCAGTTGATTGAGCGTCTGACTTTTGATTTTGGCTCAGGTCATGATCTCAGGGTCCTGGGATTGAGCCCCACATCAAGCTCTGCACGGAGTCTGCTTGAGATTTTCTCTCTCTCTTGCCCTCTGCCACTCCCCCCCGCCCCCAGGGTTGTGTGCTCTCTCTCAAAAAAAATAATAAACCTTAAGAAAAAAAGATCTCTGATGCTTATTTAAAAAAATTAAAAATAAAATGTTACTCTGTATAAAATGTTGCTATCTAAAAGTCTGAACCTACTCTGATTTTCTTCTTTCATAAATGACTTGGGTCTTTTTTGACTGGTTGCCCCAAAGATTTTTTTTTTTTAATTTTTAGTTTTTACTGCATTCTGTTAACAGTATTGACTATTCTGGACTGGTTTTCCCAAAAGTACGACGTGCCCTTCCACCGTGCAATCAAGTCTTTTTACACTCAGAAAAGTTTTCTCGATTGGTAGTTTCTATCAGTTGTTATTCTATGCTCTTCAGTTTTCTGTTTCTATTATTTTACGGTCTTTGCTAGTCTACGCTCTTATACATAAGTTGGATCTTCTTTCTCTGACTTTTTTATCACAGCTCCTGACCATTTTTTTCTCTTTCTTGTTTGGCCCTCCCTTGACCCCATCCCTTCCTTATCCCTTCAAGTCTATTCATTGTTGTGTTCTCCTTGTGCAATACTTAATTCTGAAAAATTTCTCCTGAGTCCCATCAACTCTCTTTTCTGTTGACTGGTCACTTTGTTTCTGAGCTTTCTAAAAATTTTTATTTATACCATTCTTTAGTAGTTTCTATTATTTTTTGAATTCTTTTTAGATCATTTTGAAATATTAGGATGTGGTTTTCATCTGCTTTGGGGGAATACTGTTCTGATAGACTTTCATTGTCTGTGGAAGGTTACCTGGTTTGTTTTTTTCTCCCTATGATACCTTTGTATGGGGTGTGATCATAATCCTCTGTTGCTCAGGTTTAAATGACATGAATTCTTCTGTACTTTCTGGAGGATTATGTACGTGTTGGGAAGATGTGGGTCAGGGTAGCTTTCCACACTGAACATTTGGGGATCCGTCTTCTGCTGTACCTCTCAGTGTATCCCCCTCCTCTCAAGATTTCCTATCCATTTCCTCTAGTGTTGGAAGTTTCTCTCTCCTTCCCCCCCCAGGTTCCTGCCCTGCTCAGTCCAGGTCTTGTTTTCCTCAGGGAGGGAGGGCTCTTTCCTTTTGGGGGTTGTGGTGGGTGTTTCAGATCCTCAGGGCAATGCTCCGCCCTGGATTATCTAATCTTCCCTCCCTCGTTATGTTTGGTTTGCTTATCTGTAGAGTGGAGCTGAGAAATGTCCCCAGGTCACTGGCTGTATCTCAGAGTCACCTGCCGAGGTTTCTGTTCAGTGAATCTCTCTTGGGGGTGTGGGGAGGTGTTTTATGGTGGTTTCTGGGTTCCCTGGCTCTTGGGACTGTCAGAACCCCTTTGCTCTTCCCTTTACCGCCTCCGCACAGCTGCTGAGTCTACGTCCCTTTAGAGTAACGCTACAGTTGGTGGTCTGACCCTACCTCCTCGTCGTCGTCTAGGGTTTGTGGGACACCCTTTCCACCTGCCTTTGTTAAAGTTGGTCTGGGCCTTTTCCTGAGGAAAGTCGGTAAGATTTAAAAATTACCCTGCTCCCACCGCCTTGTCCCAGTTAAAGGCCCCTCCACTCAGGTTTTTCTTCCTGTCTTTCCACTGAGCGACTTGGGTCAAGGCCGCCATGACCTATGTTTGCCGTCTCCAGTAGCCGGGTCTCAGTGTTCGTAATGCTTGACCTCAGACATCATACATCCCAGCCTGCACTCTTCCAGCCCTGCTCTCCCTGCATCTTCCCCGCGGCGTGAGATGGTGATTGACTCTCTGAGCTGCACAGCCAACATCACAGATGACACCACAGTGTCATCACCTTGTAAACCCCTTTCTTTCGCCCAGACCCAATACCAAATGTACTGAACCTATCAATGATCTCAGATCTACTTCCAGAACATGTCCTATACACTAACACTGAACAATCCAAGAAGGAAATTAACAAGACAATTCCATTTAAGACAATTCCATTTATGACAGCATGGAAAAGAATCAAGTGCTTAGGGATAAACCGAACCAAGGAGGTGAAGACTTGTAAGCTCAAGACTACAGAATATTGCTGAAAGAAATTAAAGAAGGCATAAATAAACAAAGACATTTTGTGTTCGTGGATTAGAAGACTTAATATTGTTAAAATGTCAATACTCCCCAAAGTGACCTACAAATTCAGTGTAACTCCCCGTCAAAATCCCAATGACTTTGTTTGCAGAAAAAAAAAATCTATATTAAAATTCACATGGAATCTCAAGGGCAGGACCACAAGTAGTGAAAACAATAGCCAAAGAGGATGAAACTGGGGGAGGGGGTCTCATACTTGTTGATTGAAAAGTCTATTATAGGGCGCCTGGGTGGCTCAGTTGGTTGGGTGACTGCCTTCGGCTCAGGTCATGATCCTGGAGTCCCGGGATCAAGTCCCACGTCGGGCTCCCTGCTCGGCAGGGAGCCTGCTTCTCCCTCTGACCCTCCTCCCTCTCATGTTCTCTGTCTCTCATTCTCTCTCTCACAAATAAATAAAATCTCAAAAAAAAAAAATTTAAAAGTCTGCTATAAAGCTGTGCTGGCATGAAGACAACAGACCAACGGAACAGAACTGAGAGCCCAGAACTGAGCCTCGAATATGTGGTAAATGATTTCTGACAAGGGTGCCAAGACTGTTCAATGGGGAACGGACAGAGTTTTATAACAAATGGTGCTGAGAACCGGGTATCCAACTGCAAAATGATGAAGATGGACCCTTACCTCACACCATACATGAACATTAACTAAAAAATGGAACAAAGACATAAATGTAAGAGCTAAGGCTATAAAACTCTTAGAACAAAACACAGAGGAAAAGCTTTATGACTTTGGATTGGCAATAATTTCGTGGATATGACACTAAAAGCACAAGAAATAAAAGAAAAATAAACTGGACTACATAAAAATGTAAAACTTCTGTACATCAAAGGACACAATCATCAAAATGAGAAGACAATCCATGGGAACGAGAGAAAATATTTGCAAATCATATATCTGATGGGTTAATATCCAGAAATATATACAGAACTTCTACAACTTGACAACAAACAACCCAACTCAAAAAAAAAGGTGAAGAACTTGAATAGACATTTCTCCAAAGAAGCTGGACAAACGGTCAATAGGATATGAAAAGATGACCAATATCACTGATCACTGGGGAAATGCAAATCAAAACCACAATGAGATACCACTTCACACCCATTAGAATGGTTATTGTAAAAAACCTGGAAGATAATACGCGTTGGCAAGGATGGGGAGGAACTGGGACCCTTGTGCACTGCTGGTGGGAATGTGAAATGGTGCAGTCACAGGGGAAGAAGGTATGGCAATTCCTCAAAACATTAAACACTGAATGACCCATTGACTTCTTGCCAGCAATTCTACTTCCAGGTATCTCCCTCTAAGAACTGAAAGCAGGGTCTTGAAGAGATGTGTGTACACCTACATTCACAGCAGCATTATACAACAGCCCAAAGGTACAGGCAACCCAAGTGTCCCTCAAAAGGTGGACGGCGGCGCCTGTTAAGCATCAGATTCTTGATCTCGGCTCAGGTCACGATCTTAGGTTTGTGAGATCAAGGCCCGCGTTGGGCTCCATGCTGAGTGTGGAGCCTGCTTAAGATTCTGTCTCTCCATCTACCCCCCCAGGCCCCTGCTCACGCGCTCTCTCGCTCAAAAAAAGGATGAATGGATAAACAAGTATGGTACACGTCTACAGTGCGATATTATTCAGCCTTAAAATGGAAGGAAATTCTGACACTGCTACCATGAGGACGAACCCTGTGGTTGCACAAGAGGTGAATGGACATCGCGCCAGTGAACTCTATACTTCAAAATGGGTAAGACGGTGGATTTCACGTTATGTGACTTTTACCACAATTAAAAAAAAAAAAAGGACATCCTGAATTTGACCACGTCTCACGAGCTCCACTGCTCCTACCCTCGACCAAGGCTCTATCGTTCCATGTCCTGATTACTTTAGCAGACTTTCCACTCCTGTCTGCTTCTACCCGGGCCACTCCCTAGTCCAGCACTGCCCACGGGACACAGAATGAGAGCAGCATATGTAATTTAACCCGTCCCAGTAGCCACGTTAAAATACAGGAGAGAGGGGCGCCTGGGTGGCTCAGTTGGTTAAGCGACTGCCTTCGGCTCAGGTCATGATCCTGGAGTCCCGGGATCGAGTCCCGCATCGGGCTCCCTGCTCGGCAGGGAGTCTGCTTCTCCCTCTGACCCTCCTCCCTCTCATGCTCTCTGTCTGTCATTCTCTCTGTCTCAAATAAATAAATAAAATCTTTAAAAAATAAATAAATAAATAAATAAAATAAAATACAGGAGAGAAATTGGTGAGATAAATTCTAATAACAGATTTTATTTAATGCACTCTAGCCAACATATGGTTATTTCAACGTGGAATTACTATAGAAAGTTACTGAGATCTTTTATGTTCTCTTTTCTCATAGTACACGTTCAACCTCTGGCGCGGAATTTATGCCCACGGCACACTGCAGTTTGGACCAGCCACGTTTTCCAGTGCCCAACAGCTACGTGCGGCTCCTCTGCTGAGCAGCTGTGCCTCTCACCCGTTCCCAACCTGACAGGCCAGACTAATTCTATTAGAACATGCACAGATCGTGTCCCTCCTCTGGCCAGAACTCGCCAACGGCTTCCCATCTCACTCAGGGTCAAAGCTGAAGTGTCGACAGGCCCACAGGCTTCTGTGATCTGGCTTCCTGCTTCCTTCTGACTCACCTTCTGCACTGCTCTTCACTTGCCTCCGCGGCCTGTGCCAAGCAAAACCCCACCTCTGGGCCTTTGCACCTGCTATTCCCTCTGCCTCCAACACCCTTTCCCCAGGTACTCCATGGCTTGTTCCCTTACTTGGGAGCCCCTCCTTTCCCCTGATCCCTTTATCCTGCTCTATTTTTATCCATAGATCTTATCACCACCTGCCATACCTCAGATGTTTGTTTGCTTATTGTCTTGTCTCTCCCACTAGAATATAAGCTCTGTCTAATCTGTTCACTGCTCTATTCCCAGTGCCTGGGGTAGCACCTGGCACCTAATGGAAATGCAATAAAAACATCTTGGGGGGGACACCTGGGTGGCTCAGTGGGCTGAGCGTCTGACTCTTGGTTTCAGCTCAGGTCGTGATCTCAGGGTCGTGGGATTGAGTCCCACATCAGGCTCCCTGCTCAGCGCAGAGTCTGCTTGTCCCTCTCCCTCTGCTCCTCCCCACCCCACCCCCCTGGCTCATGCTCGCTCGCTCTCAAAATAAATAAATAAAATCTTTAAAAAAGCCCCCAAAACTATGCTGAGTGAACAGTGAGCATTCAGAAGGGGCCAGGGGTCTATGCTTACTCTGGCCTGGTAGGCCCTGTCATTTGTCGTGTTGGGCCTCATGAAGGCAGCTCAACATTCTTTTCACCCAACCTAAACTCACTCTCTCCTGAAATCCCAGATCAAGCCCAATTTCCTCTAAGAAACCTTCCTAAATGTCTCCAATGATCAGAGTCTGTCCGGCCCCTTCCCATCCTTCCCTATCTACTTACTGAGCATTGACTACGGGGGTGGAAAATATAAAGGCCTCCGTGGGCCAGACCAGGTGGGGCTTTGGGGAGCTGGAGGGCATGTGCCACTGCTTGGCTCCAGGGCCACCTGGTGCGAGTGTGGGCCCCGTAATGCCAGGGTTGCTAATTTTTCCAGAGAAGCCAGATATGTGGATTTTTACACGGACTCCTCTAATCATGAAGTGTTTTTGCAAACTCAGATTGATCCATAGCACACATATCACCTTCTAACTCACCAGGAAGCAATCAAATATGGCCATGGTTGTGCCAACCTCAGTGAGCTCCCTCTGGTCACAGATGGACTGAGGGGAATAACTGTCATGGACCGAAACAGCTGCCTAAGTCTGTAAGTTCATAATTATAATGACAAAACGAACATCACAAATGCCTCGATCATATCTGGAGGATACTAGAAATGCAGCTCATCGTTTTAACAACTGGTGAATAAAAGCAGGGGATAGGGGCGCCTGGACGGCTCAGCCGTTGGGCGTCTGCCTTCGGCTCGGGTCATGATCCCAGGATCCTGGGATCGAGCCCCGCATCAGGCTCCCTGCTCCGCAGGAAGCCTGCTTCTCCCTCTCCCACTCCCCCTGCTTGTGTTCCCTCTCTTGCTGTGTCTCTGTCAAATAAATAAAAAATATAAAAAATAAAAAAATAAAACAAAAGCAGGGGATAAAAGATTTCCTCTGCCCTTCCTAGGTGAACTATGCCTCAGTAGCGAAGTAGTTGATGAAGGGGGTTCTCTCTAGGGACATATTCCAGGCTCATCAACAGAAGGATTGACAGTAGACTGCCGCCATCTTGCAACCCCTGATCTATGCAAAGCCCATCAGGGACTGAGAACAGTACACGACAGGATGACCGGGTGTTGTATATAGCTCTTGGTGGAAGTACATAGCTCCTCAATCCCACGTACAAGCAGACTCGCCCCTAAACACGCAAACAACTGAACCTGAATCTGATCTGGGTCTCACTATTCAACCACCAATCTACAGGAGACAGGGGACAGAAGAATACTGTAAATGCCTTCAGAGGGATGCCATCAGGAAGCACCAGACCGTGAGACCCTCTATAGCACAAATGACCCCGTTCCTTCAACAAAATGCCGCAAGAAGAAAGAGAGACGGAGCAGACCTCTCCAGATCAAAAGGAATTTAAGAGACATATTGACTGAGCACATATGACCTATGTGTACTTCAATGCCAATGATGCTCAGACGGTAAAAAGTACATCTATGTTTGGGGAAACGCGAATACAAGTGCAGTTGACCACTGAGCAACCCGGGTTCTGGATGCGCAGGCTCACTTATGTGTGCGTGTTTTGGATAAACACAGCACTGTAAATGTATTTTCCTTCCCTTAATATTTTATTAACTACATTTTCTTTTCTGTTACTGTTAAGAATACGGTATATAATACATGTAACATACCAAATACAGGTTAATCAGCTGTTTATGCTGAGTAAGGCTTCCAGGCCAGGGTAAACTTAGTAGTTAAGTTTTGGAAAAGCCAAAAGTTCTACGTGGATTTCTGACTGTGTGAGGGGTCGGCGCCCCTAACTCTTGCATTGTTCAAAGGTCAACTGTATTTGATATTAAGGAATTACTGTTAATTTTGGTGTAATAATGATATTGAAGTTAAGTCTTTAAAAAGAGGGTCTTCCCTCCTCCAAAAAAAACCAGGTCTTTCCCTGTAAAAATCCCTGAAAGACTGAAGATTGACCAGAGAAATACCAGTAAATGAACCCACGCTGGATAGGCCTCGACTGTGGCAGAAGTTCCTGTGGAATGAAGATGAGGCTGGCTGGTCAAGCCCGAGAAGGTTTCTTATATGCAATGGGGCTTGAGGCAGGCGGGGGGTGCTCAGGAGGACTGGGGGGCCGCGGTGGGGTACAGAGGGGCCTGTGAGCTCGGGCAGCAAGTGTGGCAGGGACACCCACGTTGGGCTAGGTTAGGCTCGCCATCCTGCACCCAGAGGGGGCCCTCCCACCTGAGGCCATGGCAGGCACCAACATGGAGGCTGATGGCTGCCCAGGCTCTCCTCCTGGCCCTGACCGCCCCGCCCCACCGCTCCCATGGGGGCCTCTCACCTCCGGGGCTGGGTCCGCGGTGCTGGCTTTCCTTCCCCCACCATTGCCTTCGGGCTGCTTGGACGGCATTTTCTGGAGGAAGTCAGAGATCTTCTGAACTAAGAAATCGCGGTCTTTCAGGTTGGCGAACAGGAAGGTCATTTTGCTCTTGGTGCTAATGGACAGGGGGCTGGGCAGGACACTGGAGCTGTCGGCTTTTTCGACAATGGTCACCTGAGAAAGCAAAGTGAGCACTGGGGGTGGGTGTCTGGGGATGGGAAGCTGACCAGCTCTGGGCATGTGGGAGCACAGTGGCCTCACGCAGTCCTCTCCGGGCCAAGGGCACTGGCTGGGCCCCACCGCGTTCCCGTGCTGAGTCTGCCGCTTATTGCCGTGGGACTCTGAGCAAGTCACCTGCACAGGCCAGCCTGGTTTCCCCCTGCTGATGGGGACAGTGAGCCCACCGGCCTCGCGGGACCATCGTGAGGATGATGATGCAGAAGTGCTCAGCCCCGCTGGCGGCCCATCCGGCTTCCCAAAGACGTCCAGTTACTCTCACTCTAAAGCATGGGGAGCAGCCCTGCCTGCACGCTGTCCTAAACACCGGCTCCCCGGGTACTTGCCAACAGGGGCGTCCCGGGCCCGGCTCTGACCCTGAGGCGTGTGGACAGCATCATAGGTGTGGAGGGTGCAGAATGGGCTTTCAAGGGACGCCTCTGCAGAGCCTGTGGCCCAGGGGGGTCACAGACAACAGACAGGCAGGGACTGGCCTGACACACAAGGAAAGGCTGGAGAAGCCGGGGTAAGAGTGAGCAGGGGCGGGCAAGTGAGCGTGTGCAGGTGTGCGTGTGTGTGTGTGTCCAGATGCATGTGAGCATGTGTGTGCACAGGTCTGCACGCACGTGAGCTAAGATCTAAGAAGGGGTGAACGGTTCACTGAAGGTCCCACGGGTCCCGGCGGGGCATCGACATGCGCTGACGGACATTCTCAACTACGCGGGGGGAGGGGGCGAAAGGCTCAGGTGCAGGTAGCACCCTCCTGAGGGGGCGGCCGTGGACAGGAAGGGACGTGCGGGGGGGACGCGGGAACAAGGCCTGGTGAGGATCCAAGCCAGCTTCTGCTCGCCAGCTGAGCCAACGGACAGCAGGAATGCCGCTTTCCGAGGCGGGGCGCAATGTCCGCTCTGCAGCCTGCTCTGAGAGGGAAGCCCTGTGAAGGCCCCTGGTGGGCGCACTGGGGATCATTGGCGCCAGGCCAGGGCCCCTGTCCTGACCCCAGAGCCCGAGTCCGTCCTGCTCCCCACCTCAGCCAGGCTCTCTGCCATCAGAAACACCGGGATCATCGGGAGAAACAGAGCTGAGGCCTATGGAGACCTCTGCACCCACCCCCAGGCCTTGGCCCAGGACAGACTCACGGCCCAGCAGGAACAGGGAATGTGGGGTCAGGGGTTACCTGAGCCCTCAGCCGGAAGCTTCTGGAGCTGTGGCTCTTTCAAGTCCCTTGCCTCGGACTTGCCTTGGGGAAACGAGGCAGCACACAGAAGAACCCCCCTCCCCCGACACCTACCACCGCTGCACCCACAACTGGAGGGCTTTGTAAATGCAGGGGGGCCTCACAACTCCAGGCTGTTAATAAAATCAAGATACTGCAATCTAGATTATAACTTAAGAACCTCACTGTGCTTCACAGAGCTGAACAGCCACTCTGCCCTGCTGGGCCATGAGGAAAAGGAGGCCTGAGGACCTGCTCTGACCTTCTGCGGGGGGGGGTCTGTCAGTGCTTTCCACCTTACGGGGGCCCTCTCCCTCACTGTCCACACCCTTCACTGCAGCATAGGACAAACGGCCTTGCTTCCGTCAGGGTCACTGTGGAAGCCTAAGAAACCTGAGAAAAAGTTATCTCTGACAGATGAGAGCCGTCCCCATCCCTGACAGGTGAGAGCTGACCCCTACCTGTGACAGGTGAGAGCCGTCCCCATCCCTGACAGGTGAGAGCTGACCCTTACCTATGACAGGTGAGAGCTATCCCTATCCCTGACAGGTGAGAGCTGACCCCTGCCTGTGACAGGTGAGAGCCGTCCCCATCCCTAACACAGGTGAGAGCCATCCCCATCCCTGATGGGTAAGAGCTGACCCCTACCTGTGACAGGTGAGAGCCGTCCCCATCCCTAACACAGGTGAGAGCCATCGCCACCCCTAATGGTTGAGAGCTGACCCCTACCTGTGACAGGTGAGAGCCGTCCCCATCCCTAACACAGGTGAGAGCTGACCCCTACCTGTGACAGGTGAGAGCTGTCCCCATCCCTGACGAGTGAGAGTGGACTTCCAGTGGCCCTGCTGGAGTCTGAGTCACAGCCAAGGCAAGTGTCAGGAGAGGAACGTGAGGTGGCCTCTGAGAGTGACATGGTGGGGCTGGTCAGGGGTCAAAGTCCTCCAAGCTAAAGCAGGCCTTTGCTAAAGTCCAACTGCTGGACCACGAAGGCAGGCCTCAGGGACACTCACCCGCAGGAGGCCTCTGGGATCTGCTCAGGGAAGCACAGAACTTTGCTGGAGTTACCTGAGCTCTCCCAGCATGCCAACCCCCAGCCTGTCTCCCCACCAGGTAAGGTGACCCCTGAGGCAGCATCCAGCTCACCCGCCTGGAGGGGCCCGGCACAAGGCAGGGGCTCAGGGAAGTTGCTGACTCACTATGTGCCCTCCACATGCCCACCACCGAACGCCAGGGGGCTGCCCTGGGCTGGCGACCCCCACCAGGTGCCCCAGGGAGTCAGGGCAGAGCTGGTGGGGGGACCGGGGGCTCACCTCCCGCAGGGGTATGATGAGGTGGCAGGCGTCTTCCTCTTTGCTGGCGAAGCAGATGTAGTTGCTGGAGATGAACATCTGGCCAGGGATGTGCAGCTTGTTGAATGGGGTCCACAGGGTACAGCCCGTGTGGCCATCCAGACGCTCGTCCCTGGGCAGGCGGAAGGTGGCCCGGTAGCACTCATTCTTGGCTCGGGCATCCAGGTCTCTGGGAAAGGCCAGGGGGTGGGAGGAAAGGGGACAGTAGTTAGGGCCAGTGTGCCTGCAAGCGGGCTTCCATGTGGGATTGGGCTCTTTGGGGTCCTCCCATGAGCAAGTCATGGCCAGGGGATCTCAGAGTTCAATAAAACACACACAGCAGATGGCGAGGTACCACGAGACACATTTGTAGGACCAGCAAACAGCATGCCCTGGAGCCCTGAGGGCTCTGGGGGACACCCAGAAGCTTGACAGGGTTTGACATGTCACCTGCTTGGTGCTGAGGGCGGACAGGGCCCTGGGGCCTGGAGGTTCCTACACCTGTCCCGCACACCTCTGCCCTGAGGTTGCTGTTGCCCGGGAAGACCCAGCCCCACCTGGACACCCAGACAAGGACCTCCTGATCTTAAACACGTGACTCTGTGAATGAACACAAAGGCATGCTTGCCCGATGACCGTGTGAGGTGGCCACCTGGCACCCTGCTCCTGGCCCCCTGCTCCTGGCCCCCTTGGTGGCTCTTTCCTTGTAAACATCTCTTCCCCCAGCCGCACGGGGGCTGCCGACAGCCTGAGCAGGGCCTGGAGGGCACACCCTGATGGATGGTGTCAAGTCCTGGCCCTTGCTTGTTTCCTTTCTGGAAGGTTCCAAAAGCACCCCATCACAGGCATGGGGAGAGTGACATCCTTGGATGGTGCCCTCTTGTAACTATGTGCAACCAGCCCTTTTCTGGGGCCTTCCTCCCACAGGGCACCTGGGAAGGGAGAGGAGGGCCGGCCCCTCCCACCCCAGGGGGCTGCGCACCGCTTCAGAGCCGAGATGTTTCTGTGTGGCCGGGTAGGCCGGGGCAGCGCCTTGTCCTCCAGGAAGCCCTCGCTGTCCAGCAGCTGCCGCATGGCCAGGTTGGCCAGTTGCTCCATGAGCTTGAAGGTCTCGCCGATGTTGAGGAACATGGAGAAGAACAGCTCCTGGTCCCGGGTGTCCACACGGATGCTCTCCGGGAAGAGCAACGTGGCATTCTTCTCCAGCCTTGTGACGTCCACCCACTGTACCACCAGGCTCACTGGACACCAGCAGGGACACATAAGCCAGTGGGTCACACGGGCCGGAGGGCTGGACAGCACCTGTGCCCGAAACCCACTGGGAAAGCCGTGCCCCGAGGGAATCACGGACCGTATGCAACCCCCCCCCGCCCGTGTCTGAGCCTGGCTGTGCCGGGACAGGGGCTCCACGAGGAGGGCCCGGGCCATGGGGGTCTCCACTGTGTCCCAGGCCAACCTGGCACCCCGCCCTGAGAACGTCCTGGTGACTATCTGCCCCACAAATGGCTGAGGGATGACACAAATGCATGCGGGGAGGTGAGCTGGCGGGTACCCTGCCTGGTGAGGAGGTGCCAGGCGGGAGGAGGGCAGGGCGAAGGATGTGGCAGGTGTGTGCACGGTGGGGCAAGGCCTCGCTGTGCTCAGAAGGGCTGAAGCCCTGAGAGGCTCTTTCTGGGGCTGGCGTGGCAGCAGAGGGCACCGGCTGCCCCTGGGAAGTCAGCCTTGTGCTTCCCGCAGCACCACGTAACCTGGAGCCACTCGGGGATGGCATCTGCCCTAGAATGTTCGACTTAAAGGAGGGAAGGGAGCCCCTGAGCCGTGGCTCTGGGAAGAACCAGGTTGGTGGACGAAGGCGGGCCAGGAGCCCCCAAGAGCCAGGTGCGTGCCTACCTCAAGTCCAGGTCTCCTTGCTGCGGACCTCAGAGGCACACTGGGTTTCGGGGAGATCCCCGGGGTGTGTGTGTGCATGCAGAATATCGGGGGACCGCGCTGGAGGAAGCCCCTGAGGAACTCTGGTGGTCTGGAGAGGCGGGGACCGTTCTGGAGGCGGGGGTCTGGGGGCGGCTCACCTTCCTTTCCCAGTAGGAACGAGTAGAAGCACAGGTGGTTGACGGTCAGGTAGAGCCAGCCCTGCCGGGGCACGCGGCCCTTCCAGAAGCTGCAGGAATAGTAGTTGACCAGCTTCTCCCCCTCCGGCATCCCGAACTGCTTCCGCATCTTCAGCTCAGCCTCCTTGAATTTCCCAGGGTCCTCGTCTCCCTGGGGCTGCAGGTTCTTGTTCTCTTCCGCGATGATGCCCTGCAGGGGGATGAGGGGCCTGATTCCTGGCAGGCCGGGGGGCGGGTGGGCAGGCGCTGAGACCCTGGACTCCTGGCCACTGGCCCCAGGGCCACAAGCTGGCGAGGCTGAGGCAAGTGGTCAGACAGATGCCAGGCAGGTTCCCTCAACTCCTGAGCTAATAATACCTCAAGCATGGCTGCCTGGAAGTAGGGACTTTTAAAATAAACATTTATTTCCACGTAAAATTTCTGGAAAATATAATAAACATGCTAAAAACCCCACACAGTAGGGCAGTGTATTCAGGAAGCAGGAGTCTCCCCCTTGCCCACTGTAGCCACTCTGCTGGTTTCCTGCAGGGCTACAGGCCCTGATGTGCCTCTGAGCAAACATGTGGTTTTCTCTTTCCCTCTTTCTTTACCCAAATGGCATCCAGCTATGGCAATGTTCTGTAAAGTGCTGTTCTCACAATGGGGATGTTCTGTATTTATTTGACTTTCTCCCCTCTCTCTCAATATACCAGGGGCTCCTGCTTCTTGACCCCACCCACAGACCAGCTGCAGGCCCCTCCCAGTTCAGGGCCCCCTAGACCAGCTCTAGACCCCTCCCAGCTCAGGGACTCCAGACCAGCTACAGGCCCCTCCCAGCCCAGGGCCCCCAGCCCAGCTCTAGGCCCCTCCCAGCCCAGGGCCCCCAGACCAGCTCTAGACCCCTCCCAGCTCAGGGCCCTCAAACCAGCTCTAGACCCCTTCCAGCTCAGGGCCCCCAGACCAGCTCTAGGCCCCTCCCAGCCCAGGGCCCCTAGACCAGCTCTAGACCCCTCCCAGCCCAGGGCCCCTAGACCAGCTCTAGACCCCTCCCAGCTCAGGGACTCCAGACCAGCTACAGGCTCCTCCCAGCCCAGGGCCCCCAGCCCAGCTCTAGACCCCTCCCAGCCCAGGGCCCCCAGCCCAGCTCTAGACCCCTCCCAGCTCAGGGCCCTCAAACCAGCTCTAGACCCCTTCCAGCTCAGGGCCCCCAGACCAGCTCTAGATCCCTCCCAGCTCAGGGCCCCCAGACCAGCTCTAGACCCCTCCCAGCTCAGGGCCCCCAGACCAGCTCTAGACCCATCCCAGCACAGGGCCCTCAGCTAGCTCTAGACCCCTCCCAGCTCAGGGCCCCCAGACCAGCTACAGGCCCCACAGACCAGCTCTAGACCCCTCCCAGCTCAGGGCCCCCAGACCAGCTACAGGCCCCAGAGACCAGCTCTAGACCCCTCCCAGCTCAGGACCCTCAGCCAGCTCTAGGCCCCTCCCAGCTTGGGGCCCCCAGACCAGCTACAGGCCCCCCAGACCAGCTCTAGACCCCTCCCAGCTCGGGGCCCCCAGACCAGCTCTAGACCCCTCCCAGCTAAGGGTCCCCGAGACCAGCTGCAGGCCCCTCCCAGCTCAGGGCATGTCCATGCTGCGTTCTGCTGGCATCTTCACTGTCCTTTAGGAACATGTGGCAGGAGGAACTGTCCCAACCAATGGGAATGAGCTGGCCTGGCTCACAGGGTTGGGATTCGGTTTGCTGGCCGACAGAATGGGACTGTAAAAATCACTGGACAGATTTTAAATGATTGAGTCCATAGTTTCAGGCATATTCGGGTTTCTTATTTCTTCCTGAGTCCCAGCTTCAGTAATATTACGTGGTAGGCCAAATAAGAGTCCCCCAAAGATGTCCACATCCCAAACCCCAGAGCTTGGGCATAGATTACCTTATGTGGCACAAAGGGACTCTGCGGATGTGATAAAGTACGGATTCTGACCCAGGGAGAGGGTCCTGGATTATTCAGGTGAGCCCAATATGTCACCACAAGGGGCCTTGTGAAGAGGAGACAAGAGGGTCAGAGCCATGAAGGGAATGAGAGGACACGAGTGGGGAGAGAGAGGGCGTGATCTGGAGACGCCACATTGCCAGCATTGCAGGTGAAGGAAGGGGCCCAGAACTGAGGAAGACCAGCGGCCCCTAAAAGCCGGAACTGGCGAGGAAACGGGCCTCCGGAAGGAGCACGGCCTGCCCACACCTGGCGTTCAGCCTGCGAGACCCACTGTGGACTGCTGACTTCCAGAACTCCCAGATAACGGGCCTGTGTGAGGCCATGAAGTTTATGGGAACTTGTTGCAGCAGCAATGGAAGCGAACGCATGCTAGTGGGAGAAAGTGTCCGCGCTGTCTAAACTCTTCAGTTTACTCGTTCAAAGCTGTTCATGGCATCTCTCTCTCGTTTCTAAAACTCTGCTTTTTTATAGGTGCTCCTCCCAGTTCCTTCCCAACCCTGCTCATCTGAGGCCTCCTGCTTTGGTCCTGGGTCCCTTTTGCCACAGGTTTGTTTGTATCTTAGGTCGTTCCCTGGACCCGCTGCCTTTCTGCATTGTTCTCTAACAAGAGTCCCTTGACTATTTCCTTCTGAATTCCTCATTTCTGGGCTCAGACAGGCTAACTTACTGAACTCGACGCTTGGCTCATTAACGTCCTCTCCTCAAGATTTAAGCCTTCGAATTTCCTGCTGTGTACTGCTTTCGCTACTGCCCACAAATTCGGATACGTAGGAGCATTCTGATGATCATTCTGTTCTAAATATTTTCTAATGCGCATTTCTTCTCTAACCCATGCATCGTGAAGTTTTTGTTCTGTTTTGTTGCTTGCTTTGTTTGGGTCTGGCGGGTAGGAAGCATTCAACAACGTTGCTTCATCATTATTATTATTATTGCCCAGCTTGCTCACTGGGACAGTGGAGACACTTGCCTCTGCTCTCCTTGCCTTTTCTCGTGGAGCCAGAAAGGCAATCAGGTCCTGCTCAGAGCCTCAAAGCCCACGGGGAGGAGCCAAGGAACTCTCAGCGCCGTCTGCCTGTGTCTAGAAAGTTCTGGAGTAACGAAGTCACGGGGGCCTGCCCAAAGCAGCCCTGAACGGCTAGACTTGGACCCAGTAAGGGCCCTCTGAGCAACCTAATCTAAGGCAAAATCACCGGACAGAAAGAAGACGACACACATGCACATGCGCTCAGGTAGATGCTCATTACGGCGTGAATTAGCCCCCGAAGAGGAAAAGCCGAAGCATCTCTGTGCTATGGGTTTTGACACACGGCTCCAGTTTTTAGAGCTGTAACACACCCCACGAAGTGTACCGTGTGTGACTTCGCAAGTCCCCTGAGCCCGATGCGCTCGGCGCAGGACTCAGTAGGAAGTGCTCGGTCAATGCCAGGCTAGCAAGTAGCACGGCTCTCATTTTGCAGAACAAACGGTGGCTGCTTCCCCTCCCACCCTCGGCCTGTTTCTGCTGACGGTGCTGCAGGGAGCATCGTGGGACCCACGCGTCACTCTGCACGTGTGCCTATGCCATATGACCGACGCCCGGGAAGGGAAGTGCTGTGTCAGGGGGCACACGCAGTTGTCAGTCGTGTGGGTTTCCTAAATGAAACGTGCCTCCGGCTGGCCTAGCCCTTCCAGCATTTTCCTGTTATGTGAGCCAAGGGACTGGCCGTCAGCGGTGTGCGCCCGCCTATTCGCTCTGAGGCCCTTTGCAGGGCACGGGAAGCCGGGGCTCTGCATGGTCTGAGCCCGGCGCCGGCCTGGAGAGGCGGGGTCCTGCCTGGCAATGAGTTCCATCAAACGCCCCTTTCAAGAGCAGGAGGACAGAGTGCATGCTTGCCTTCCCCCTCTGCTAAAGGGAGATGTCTGCCGAGTGAATGAGATGACACAGGCCAACACTGCCCGCCCCAGTGGGGCACGGGAACTGGAAGTGGAAGGTGAGCCTTACGTGGATCTTGCCCTTGACGAAGGTGGTGATGTCCTCCTCATTGTCGAAGATGGACAGCGTCTGGAGTAAGTTACTTTCCAGCCATTCCCAGTGCTTGGTGATCTCTTTGCGGGAAGAACCTGGGGGGAGGGGGGTTTGGTGGAGTGAAGAAGAGGAAAATCGTTACAATCACCAGGCCTTAAACGTAAGTTCAGAGGCTAATAACACGGATGACCTGATTTGCTCTACCCAGGAGACTGCAATCTTCAGGCTGCTTTCTCTTTTCCTTCTCGATGTTGAGTATAGGCAATGTAACAACAGTCACACATGGTCCCGGTGAACCCGAAAGTAACTCTGGCAGAACCGCAGCGGGTCATGCGGAAGGTAAGGCCCGCACCTCCGCTAACACCAAGAGAGACTGACCACTACTTTCCTCTGTGTCCTTCCAGAAGCAGTCTATAGATCTGCCCGTTTGCCTGGTTGTCACGATGTTCCTTCGGGATAAAGGATTTCATGTGGTCTCTGATATACAGGGAACTAAGTGACCGCGGTCCTCCGGAGGATGCCTTCCTGCAGGACTCCAGGCCCCTAGCCGGCTGGTCTCCTGCTGGGCACGCCAGAGGCTCTCACCCCTCTCTCTGAAGCCCGCTGCAGCCACCCAGGCCTTTGCCTGCAGGCCCCTCCTCCCCATCCCTGCTCACATCCCAGCCCTGACCCTGCCTCCTCCGGGAACCCCTGCCTGACCCCATCAGCTTCTGGCTGGCTCCCAGTGTCTGCCCTGCCTTGGAGGTGGTCCCTGGGCTCCTCAGGGAGGGACCCTGCAGGGCACAGCAAGTCCAGCGGTAATGGAAACACTTAGAGAAGGCAGTTCACCACCACTCCCAAGGGCAGGGCGGCTGTTTTCTCACGCACCCCCCCCCCCCCGCCCCCGGGAACTGGGAAAAGGGTACCCCGGGAGGAGAAGCAAAGGGATAAGGGAAGTCTTCTGCCTGGCCTGCTTCCCCTGCCTCTCTGGGGTTTTCCTTGTGCCTGGTGGGGGCTTTGCCCTCAAGAACTGCTTTCTGAACGAATGAACACAAGAAGAAGGGGGAAGGGCCTGCCTCCTTCCAGCTGACCCAGGGTGGGACAGTTTACGGACTGAGAGTGCCCAGAAGGCCCAGCTGATCCCCTGTGACCTATGCCTGCACACTGGCCATGGAGGGAGCCTGAGCGAAGACATAAGACCAACACGGCTGTGGCCCGCAGACATTTTTGCCCAGAGAATCAGGCACCCCGTCCTTCCCTGCCTGGCTACACTCTTCCACCAGCTGGAGACTCCGTCCTGTGGCCGTCCTGGCCAGGCCGAGTTGGTTCCCACCACCTCCTCCGTCCCCGGCTTGTTGCTCTGGCACATGTCACAGCCCAGCTGGGCTGGGTGAGGGGTGACTGTTTCTTTACCCTTACCCAAGGAGCTCACTGCTCTGACAATCAGTTCTGAGTCAGGGCCCTCCCCCTCCCCCGTGGGCCAGCGTGAGGCTGCCTCTGTGAAGGCCAGTAAACCCAGGACCATACAACTTACAGCGAGCCGTAACACACAATCCAAAGGACCCCTGCAGGCGCCTTCAAGCATCCATTAACGACCTTCCCCCCCATTTTTCTTTGGGCTTCTCACGTGGCCTCTTTTTCCTGGTGTACAGAGACCAAGGTCTAGCTGGTAGGGGAAGGGATTTCTCTCTTTCTCTCCTTTCTGCCAAGAACCCACTTTTGAATTTGGAAGTTAAATCTGCAAGTGAGGCAACTCCTGGCAACCTCAAGCAGAAGAAATCTTGTCCACGCTATCTGTGCGGATCTGTGTGTGCTTTGATTACAAATACTCACATGTGTGCATTTAAAGGAATTATTAGTTAGAAGTAACTCAGTCTTCATTTAGCCCTAAGTAAACACAAACTGTGCCATCTTTGTGTTGGGTTTAGGGACTAAAAAGAATGTAATTGCTAATTATTACGAAGCGCTATTTCTGCTTTCAGACCTTTTTGTGGAGTCTCTTATTTACTTCTTAGAGAATCGTGGAGACAGTACCATTATTTTCATTTCACAGGAGGAAACTGAGGCACAGAGAGGTTAAGTAAGTGGCCCAGTGTCACAGAGCCAGGAAGTCACCAAACCACGATCCTAACCCAGGCTGCCTACCCTGGCCCTCCGGGAGCTGCCGGTCTAGGGGGACAGCCAGTGAGCCTGCAGTGTATAAGGTGCTGGTAAAGACAGGGCGAGTCTCAAGGAGCCAGAAGGAAAGGTGGCTGTCTGGGTCTGGGGAATCTGGTTTTCCATAGGAGCCGACACCTGGGAGGGGTCTCAACAGAGTGGGAGGCTGGGTGGCTGGGGGGTGGGGGGGGACGCCAGGCACATTGATCGGGACAGGGGTGGCTGGGGACTTTGGACCCTGTGAGTGTCTGGTCTGGCTGCAGGCCAGGTGTGAGCTGAGGGGAGGACAGGAATGGAGGGGGGCTGACCCGGAAAGGCATTCAGGGGCGGGCTAAGGAGTCGGGATGCACTGGGCAGGTGTGGGCATGACCACGTCTGATTTGGCAGAGCTGAAGGGGAGGGGCGTGCCCAGCAGAGGTCAGGGCAGAAGCTGGAGCAGCTCGGAGCGTGTGGCCTGAGGCTAAGGACTAAGGTTCCCCAGCAACGGCGGGGCTCCTCCCCAGCTCCTCCCCAGCATCAGGCCCGGCTGCCACCAGCGTGGCCACCCTCCTCCCTCCCCTCACTGCCACTCCTGCCTCCTCCCCATCTGCTCCCTGAGAAAGAACATCACTGAGATAGGAAAATCTCGAGGGCCCATTTTAGAGTCACGTGCCTCGCCCCAGCCCAGGCACACACTGACCTCCCTGCGCCCCACCCCACGGAAGCCCCTCTCTCCTGCACGCTCTGGAACCAGCAGGGCCGGGGTCCTACCGTGCCCCACTTGGCCTTGGGCACACCCAGACTTAGAAGCCTCTGTCTATGGATTCATACCCAGGGGAAAGGGCACCTCTGTTCAGGACCCCTGGGAGGAAGCGGACTTCTAAAGCCAGGGTCCCAGCTGTGGACGCTCTCATCACCTTTCTCAGGCCTCCTAACCCCCTCTGGGCCACTGCTTCCTCATCTTCAAAATAGAAAAAAAACAAACCCCAAAGTTCCACCTTCTTGGGAGGTTTGCGCAAGTGCCTGGCCGGCAAGAAGTGCTATCTGAGTGTATCCGTGAATATGTCCAAGTGACCTCAGCCAGGCTGGTACCCACTGACAGGGACCTCCTCCCAGACTCTGGGAGGGTTGTGTGTGTCTCCTCCCGGGAGGGCGGCCACGGCTGACTGTCATTTTTGGCGGCAGTTACGTTCTACAACGTCTCCTGGAACACGGAACGGGCCAAGACTGATCCCAGGGGAGCTACGGGGAGGGCTACACTCCTGTAAACATCATCATCAATCGATCAGTGCATGACTGTTTCACGCAGCTTTCTGTTTAAAGGCCCCTTATTTCATATATGTTAATTCCCTAACACCACACTCAAGGCCAGCATCGGCCGGAACTCAGGCCTGAACGGAGCTCCGTGAACATGCGTACCCTCCCCACGAGGCACATCACCGCGTCTGTGCTTAGGAACACAGCCGGCCCCTCGGCACCCCACTTGGGGCCACTTGCACCAGCAAAATCACCAACCAAACCCACAAAAATGCCCGAAGTGTGGGCCCGTAGACCGCAGAAAGGACCCTCATTTACCGTTTGACAGCCACCAGGAGGCAGAAGGACGCCTTGTCCCTCTTTGGCTGGGAACCTGAGTGTCGGGCGGCTCAAAATTTTCACTGCACATGTCCATGACTGTCCACAGATAATCCCCACGGTGTCCAGGGCACCCGTGAACATCTGAGCTGCCTTCCTAAGTGAGATGCCGGCCTGGGCCGTGTGGGCTGAAGGAAAGGCAGCATCGGGTTCTCCAGAGACAACATCCAGCCCAGGAATGCAGGCTGTGTCCCCTCCCTCCTGGGGTCCCCCCCGCCTACCTCGTCCAGGGCAGGCCCCGCCCGGCACCTACCACATGCCACTGTCCAGTAGATCTGCGAGTCCTGAGTCTGGTGCAGGATTCGGTAAGGGGCCACGCGGGCACTGGAGTCCAACACCACGTCCAGGGTGCCCACGAGAAGACCTGGGGGCAGGGCAGAGAGAGGGGGGTGAGGGAGAGCCACGCTCACAGCCGAGCCCTGGAGGCCGCCCAGAACGGCAGCACCGTCCTCGAGGCCCCGGCCCAGACGGAGACACGTCTGGCATCCCCCTCGTCCACCAAATGACTTCTTTTTCCTCAAAGGCCTATCGAAAAATCCCCTCCCACTTCCTGGCAGCTTCTGCTCATTCCCCAGACTCACAAACACTTGTAGGCAGGGGCTGCTGCAGGTTTTAGAAGGCCTTGTTTATAAGCTTAAACAATTCTGGGAGGCCCTCTTTAGGAAAAATACAAAATTAGGTTGTCTTCTGTTTTTAACTTATTTTTAATTTTTTTCAAAAAAATTTTTTCAAAATTCCCAAAAATGAGAAAGTACAACCGTCACAAATTAAAAACAAAAACAATACCACAAGTATGACAAAATTCAGACAAATAGTACAATGTGTTTTATTAACTGCCAGACCCATCTCTTTAGGTACATTTTCTCCTGACATTTTTGGTCATGTACTCTGCCACTTTTTCAAAAAAGTAAGACAATGATTTTGTAAGATCACTTTCCGTTATCAACAACAGGATGATAATATAGTCTTTCCTCTGCCAAGTAATCACAAATTTTTTTCTCGGAAGTGTTAAGGAAGTTCCTTGTGGCTTCAGAAGTCATGACTGAAGAGGACACAGCAATTTTTATAACTGTCCAATTTGGGAAAACACTCATCCAGTTTTTTCCATCTCTGAAGCATTTTAGGGCATTTCAAATTTTCCTTCTCATCACATATAGCCTTTGTTGATGACACCATTTCCCCGACAAATCCGAGGAAATGTCTGCCTTTTACCTGTGTTTGAGTCTCTCCTCTTCGTTAAATGAATTATCAAGCTACCTAATAATCTGTTCACTGTTCCTATTTGGAATTTATGTTTTCCTTTTTAATGAAGTGCTGCTTTTGGTATGCTCTGGAAATAGCCTGTTACCATTTTCCTGTTGATGTCAGAATAACTTCTACTGATTGTATTAACTCGACTGTAACACTTTTGTTTCATATTCCATTTTAAACTATTTTTTTCCCTCCCCAATCTTGAACAAATAAAATTACTGATTACAAAAGAAGGTACCCATCACATACACCCAAGTTAGGAGTCTGTAATCTTTCACTTGTTTTACTGAAATGTTCTAAAATGTCTCCCTAAATTGCAGTTCAAGTGGCACATATTCAAGCTTTATCAGCGTTTGGAATAAACTTTTTTTTCATAGTTCCTGTTGGGGTTTCTCTTCTGGTCTTGGAAACTTTATTTTAATGCTTATTCTGTTGCCATATCCATGTTTCGAGACCTGAAAGCTTTTCTGCGGGCAGACCATCTCATCACACTCAGACTCTTCCTTCTTCTTCTTCTTTTTTTAAAGATTTTATTTATTTATTTGACAGAGAGCACAAGCAGGGGGAGCAACAGAGGGAGAAGGAGAAGCAGACTCCCCGCTGAGCAAGGAGCCCGATGTGGGGCTCGATTCCAGGACCCCAGGATCATGACCTGAACCGAAGGCAGACCCTTAACTGACTGAGCCATCCAGGAGCCCCTTATACTCAGACTCTTCAGGGAAAGATCCAGGCTGTTATCTGTTTTTAAAAACCAGCCCGAACAAAACCACATCACTAACTGTTCCTCCCTTGGGGAGACAGGGTTCACGAGGCCATGGTGCCTATGACAGCACAGGGAAGGCCAGGCAAAGGCCACGGCAGGACTCACCAAACCTCGCTGGAACAGGGAGCTGAAGGAGTGGTTCCTGGGGTGGGGGTGGGTGGGCTCTGTCCTGGGGGGACACAGAGAGATGCATGAGGTGGAAAGGCCCTTCTGTGCACAGGAAGGCGGAGCACAGAGGGTCCCAGCCACCCTCTGAGATGATCTTCAGAAGCACAGAGCACAGAACGAGCCGCTGGACCAGACTGGACACGCTGGTATGCTGGTGCAACAGAAGGTTCTGGGCACCGTGCCTCGCCTTCCTGCACCGGCTTGCAGTCGCTTCTGGGGCTGACCATCATTCCGACTCTCCAGAGGGGCGGCTGTCTAACCGCCGCCGAACAGCTAGTCCAGGCCGCAGGTCCAGCGCTGGCTCCTGGGATTCCTGAGGCTGTTGGGAGGCAGCCCGGGGCACAGAAGGGAACACAGTTTTCTTAGGAAAGGGACAGTGTCTTCCACATTAGGAGGTGTGGCCCAGAAGAGGGTGACAGAGGACGTCTGTGGGAAACTTCTGCTGCATCTGGCAGGACTATCTTCGCTGCTAATGTTTCAAATCAGGATGCTTCACAGAAATCGCTGTTGGTAACTTGTAAGATCTGTCAGCGTTGGGCCCGCAGTCTTGTTCGGCCACAATGGGCCACCGGAAGCACAGACGCTGGTCCAGCCCCGAGCACGCGCCAGCTTGGCGGGCTGCCCGCACAGGCTTGGAGCAGGTGGGACCTCGGACCACAGCTGCAGAGGGAACGCCCAGTGGCCCTGCCCTGAGTCCCAGATACCCCACGACTCCGGGGGGTGCCTGTTCACCGACAGCGGTGCTGCCCAGGCGGACAGAGGGGCACCCTGGCTGGCTCACCAGAACAGCCTATACTGGTAATTAGGCAGAGCCTCCGTCTGCAGCTCTAGGGCACCAAGGAGCAGGAAAGGTGGGCGAGGAGAGACCAGAGGGATGGGGGCTGAGGCCAGCAGCAGCTCGGGGCACCTCCGATCTCGCTACAAGGGCAATTTGGCGGGGCGGGGGGGGGAAGAGGCAAAAGAAAACGTGTGCTTGTGTCACTTGGTCCCCGGAGGCACTTGGGGAAACTGAGGCAGAGGACGAGGACCAGGAGGTGTCGCCGACTTTCAGCTGTGACTCCCACTCCAGGAGGCTGCTCGCGCCTGGGCTCAGCCCCGGGAAGCTCACGGGCACCGCGTCTGGGCAGAGCCGCTGCCAGCTGTCCCCGCGCCGCCCTGGGCCGGCCGAAGTCACCGACCGGCCTCCTAACGCCAGCGCCCTCGCCTTGCCCGGGTCCTAGGCCCGCGCTCCCGGCGCCCCCGCCCCCCGCCCCCGCCCCCCGGCCGCGTCCCCGCCTCCCCGCCTCCCCGCTCCCCCCCGGCCCCCTCCTCGCCTCCACGACCCCCGCCGCCGCCCCCGCCCTCCCCCTCGCGCCCCGGGGCCCGGCCCGGCCCCCCGCCGCCGGCGCGCCCTCCCCGCCCGGCCCGCGGCCGCGTCCACAGGCCCGGCCTCCGCGCGCCCCTCACCCGTGAGGCCGCCGCCCTTGCCGTGGCCGCGGCGCCGCTGCAGCACGAAGAAGGGGTTGGCCCGCTCCGTCACCCACAGCGCGTTGGCCACCAGCACCTCCTCCGGGCCCAGCCACATCGTGCGGCCGCTCGCACCGGGCCGAGGCCGGCCAGGCGGAAGCGCCGCCGCCGCCGCCGTCGCCGCCGCGCCGGAGCCGAGCGGGCGGGGCGGGGCGGGCGGGCCGGGCGGGCGGCGCCCCCTGGCGGGCGCGCGGACCACCACACGCCGGCTCCGGGCCCGCGGGGCGCGCGCAGCTCCCGGCCCCGCCCGCCCCGGCCTCCGTCACTGGCCCGCCGCCCGGCCCGGCCCGGCCGCGTCCACCTCCCTCCCGCCCGGGCCCCGGCGCTGCAGACTCATCTAGGAGCGACGGGCCCGCCCCGGGGACACGGGCCTCTGGCCAGAATGGCCGAGTGCCCAGGCCAGAGGAACTGGTCGTGCGGAGAGCCGGGCCCCTGGCGTTTTGTGAAAATGTTTTGTGGGTGAGGGAGGAAATGTAAAAAAAAGAAAAAAGAAATAGCGTTTGCAAAAAACACCTTCGGCGGATTGTGTGGGCACCCCAGGGCGTGTTAACTTGGCAGAGGGCGGCTGGAGAGGGCTAGAGACGATTGTCGTCATTCTCAGAATTCGGACACATGGACCTGAGGCTAGGAGAACCTCCGGGAGCCCCGAAGCTGGCAGGATCCTCAGAAATCCGTGCAGTCCACATACCTGACAGATGGGGACACTGGGGCTTGGTGGTCTAGGGTTCAGGGACAGGGCTGGCCCTGGGACATTGGGGTTTTCTGCATAGGCATGGGCAGCAGCCCCCTGGGCAGGGGATGGGGGGGGTCCCTGCTCTCCCAGGGCTGGCCTGTAGGGGTTGACCCCCTCGCAGTTCAAACACTGACCTTTTTTTTTTTCTTTAGATTTTTTTTTTTTTTTAATTTATTTGAGAGAGCGCACAAGAGGGGTGAGCGGGAGAGGGAGAAGCAGACTCCCCGCTGAGCAGGGAGCCCGATGTGGGACTCGATCCCAGGACTCCAGGATCATGACCTGAGCCGAAGGCAGTCGCTTAACCAACCGAGCCACCCAGACTCCCCTGCTCTCCCAGGGCTGGCCTGTAGGGGTTGACCCCCTCACAGTTCAAACACTGACCCTTTTGAGGGAAAGGGGGAGCTGTGATCTACATCTGGGGCAGTCCAGAATGTCCAGGGCCTGTTGGGTGGCAGGATCATACTGCTGGCCTGAGCCTGCCAGGACCCCGCAGGAGGGCAGAGGGAAGGGAGCACTTTGGGATCATCCCGGGAGGCTTAAGATGGTTGCCAGTTGGGTTTCTGTCACTGGCCTTTAAGAATCCAGTATGATAGATGATAGATGTAAAGTAGGCAATTTTCATGGCTGACAGCCAGAGTGATCAAAAGTCTTCTGAAATCTTGCGTGAGACTGAATCAAGATGCAGAGGCCATTTTTCTCTAAGACCTTAGAAGCTGAAACTGATAATGTGCTCTCTGGGGAGTCAGCTACCCTCAGGAATCTGGAGTACTTGTTAACACCCTGGGAGGTGGTAAAGGGTTATTTTGCTCCTTCTCAAGCTTGAGCATGTATCAGAATCACCTGCAAGGCTTGTTAAAACACACTTTGCTGGGCCCCACCTCAGAGGGTTTGCATTTCTAACAAGTTCCTAGGTGATGTTGATGCTGCTGACGTGGAGACCACCTTTTGATAACTTTGCTTTATAAGAAGGAAAAGAACAAACATTTATTGAGCACTTAGGCTGTGCTAAGCCTACTTCATTTTTCCCCTTCTTCTAAGATATAATTCATGTTCCATAAAAGACATCGTTTTAAAGTGCACAATTCAGTATTAGTAATATTCACACAGTTGTTGCAATTATTACCACTAATTCCAGAACATTTCCATCACTCCAAAAACAAGCCTCTTACCTATTAGCAATCAGTCCCCGTTCCCCAACTGCCTCCGCACCCGTCAACCACTAATCTATTTCTGTCCCTCTGGATTTGCCCATTCTGGACATTTTGTATAAATGAAATCATACGCACTATGTGGCCTTTGTGTCTGGCTTCTTCCACTTACTGGAATGTGTTCAAGGTTCATGTTGTAGCAGGTATCAAATCCTTCATTCCTTTTTATGGCTGAGTAATATTCCATTGTAGAAATACACCCTATTTTGTTTAGCCATTCATCAGTTGGACATTCAGGTTGTTTCCCCTTTTTGGCGATTATGAATAATGCTGCTGTGAACATCAGTTTTGTGGGCACATGTTTTCAGTTCTCTTGGATACATTTCTAGGAGAGGAACTGCTGGGTCCTATGGTAAAGCTGCGTAACTTTTTTTTTTTAAAGTATGTTCCATGCCTAGTGTGGAGCCCAACACGGGGCTTGAACTCATGACCCTGAGATCAAGACCTGAGCTGAGATCAAAGAGTCGGATGCTTAACCAACTGAGCCACCCAGGCGCCCCTGTGTTTAACTTTTTGAGAAACCACCAAACTGTTCTCCAAAGCAGCTGCACCATTTCACATTCCCACCAGTGATGTGTGAGGGCTGCAGTTTCTCGTATCTCCACATTTGTTATTGTCTGTCTTTTTTATCATAGCCACCTTAGTGAGTATGAAGCAGTATCTCATTTGGTTTGGATCTGCCTTTCCCTAATGACTTATGATGTTGGGTATCTTTCCACGTGCTTGATGGTCATTTGCATATCTTCAATGGAGAACTGCCTATTCGTATGCTTTGCCCATTTTTTGATTGGGGTGTCTTTTTTATTGTTGAATTGTAAGAGTTATTTATATATTCTATTTTTTTTTTTAAGATTTTCATCATTTATTTGAGAGAGAGCATAAGCAGGGTAAGGAGCAGAGAGAGAAGCAGACTTGAGGGGGGGTGAGGGACAGAGAGAGAGGGAGAAGCCGACTCCCCACCGAGCAGGGAGCCCAACGCAGGGCCTGATCCCGAGATTCCGGGATTGTGACCTGAGCTGAAGGCAGATGCCCAACTGACTGAGCCAGCCAGGTGCCCCGTATATATTCTAAACATTAGACTGTTACTAGCTAAATGATATTAAGCCTTCTTCTTACATTCTTTAAAATCTAATCTCCACGTGTTAACCCTATGAGGTATTTTATGAGCCTTACATGAGAGACAATACAACTGAAATCCAGACAGAAGAAATTATTTGCCGAGTTCATACTAGTAAGTGGCAGAAGTGGTACTAATGTCCAGACCTTTTTGGGTACTAACTCTTTTCCACACATGTTGGCATTTGCTGCCTTTGTCCCGACATCCACTTCTTCCTGTGCAGCATCACAATTTTGTTGAGGAAACCACACCTTTAGAACTCTCAGCTCCTGTCTTTCGGGGGAAGCCACATTCACTCCATGGCCGCAGAAGTGAAGCCCATGCTGGCCTTGGCCACTGGCATACACCATCTCTGTGACCACAGTGGCTGGTTCAGCGAGATAGCCACGGGCCTCCAACCAAGCCAGTCAGGCTCAGAGAGATGCCCATTCTGGCCTGGGTTACCTCCTGGGGAAGGAGACCAGCTCCCGTGCTGATGGGGCTACCACCACCCTGAGCTGATCCTGGAGCTTCCCCGGAGGAAGCATAGCTAGGATGTGTGACCCGGTGTCCGTGTTTGGGGGCCAACCCATGCCACAAGAGACACGAGCATAGCCCCTGGCATTTTAGCTTTCGGGAGCCACTAAGTTCCCCTTTTGCTCAAGCCAGTTTGGGTTGGGGTTTCTGTCACTTCAACCAAGGGGGCCCTCACGGATACAGATTACCACGTGGCCAAAGGAGCTTTTTTAATAGGTTTTTATTGGAATGGTTATATTAGCAAATCCCACACATACAGGTATACACTATCGGCATATAGGTATATACCATACCATTTCACTACTTAATTATACTTACATTAACCATGTGGACCTGGGCATTGTGCTGCCCAGGACATTTCAAAGGGCTAATGAGATCTGATTGCCAAGAACTCAGCTCACATTCTAGTGGCAGGTATCTGTGTTCTAGACAAGGTAACTCCCCCCTACAGTGAGCCCCCAAACTAAGCAAATGATCGATTTTGCTTTTTTGGCTATTTGGTGTGTGTTCTTTCTGGCACGAGCTATCCATTGGTGAATTAAAATTCAAGTGCATAGTTTCCCTTTCATCCCTCAAGGTGGAAGGGAAGTCATTTGCCACATTTAAGTATATCCCAAGCCTCCCCCACCCCCAAATTACCTGTACTACAGTTAGAAAAATAGTTTTGTATGCCATCCTCTGAGATGTTGTGCATAGTTAGCAGGAACCCAGAATGAGAGGAGCTCTGTGAATGACCCAAATGTGAAAGGGGTAACTTGAATATTTTAGATGAGTACAAAAGCTATTGAGGGTCAAAAACAATTGTGACATGTGTAGCCTACAGTTTGGACCAACCGACTCCTTCTCTTGTTTAGGAACAGGACTGTTCTGGTAGGTGAGGGCCGTTCTCCGTACCCCAAATAGCATTTCCTAGCTTGGAGTCTTTTTCCTGTCTCTGTGATCACACATTCTGACCCCAAGCACCAGCCAAGGGCTCCCCTCCTCCAGCCGACGGGGGTGGGGGGGTGGGGTGGGGAATGAAGGACACAGTGCCCTCTCCAGGAAGGCATGTGTCATTTCAGGCGGGGCACCCAGTAAAGACGCTGCCACCCTGACTCTGGCCACAGCTAGTGACTCCGTCCACACAGCATGCTGGCACTCAGTAGGCAGCTAACCTGCTTAGGAACAGCGTACATGAGTGAAGGGAAAGAAACGGCCCAGGTGGTAGAGTCTACCTATCCCCCACCCCCACCTTTTGTTTTTACAAACATCCCTGCTCAGTACCTACCAGTCACTAGTATAGTCCTTTAATATCACACAGCGTGAATACCCTTGGATTTAATTGTGGATGAAGGATAAGTCTGAAAACAAATTCAAATTCACTTTGCATTGGGTTAAATTTGTAAAAATATAGCTCAGAACAATCATCTGTAGCTTTCGACAGTAGCCAGTAGCTCTAAAGAGAGCTGGGGAGAGAGGGTGACAGTCCGCTGAGGGGGTAGGTTGCTGATGAAGGCCAGCCGGGCTTGCCAGATGACCGACCGACATGACGTGTGTCTTCCCCGCACACGTGCCCACCCAAGTGGGTGACAGTG